TTATTTATCATTTCTAGATTAAATTCGATACAATTAACACGTTTTCGTCATAAATCGTTTGTTTTACACGATTCTTGTTGTTTTTTTGTTTTTTTTGCAATCACCTAGGAAAGATTGAAAGAATAAAAAATAAGAGAGAGAGAGAGAGAAAAAAAAGAGAAAATAATTTATACATCTGTTCATCTCGACCACATGATTTCATAACATGACAATACCAAGAACAATTGTTCCTTTGTGAATCATGTACGTTTTAATATTCTCTTACGAGATTTATTTTCATCTTTGATTTTATTTGTCCTTTTACATATTCATTTTCAAAACGTTCTTTCATTTAATTAATAAACAACTTTAACGATATATTATGTTTCAAATAAATAGAAGGGTGAATTGTAAAATTTTGAATCTACCAGAAAAAAAAATTACTTTTATTCGACAAATGTGAATTTATTATCAAGAAAAAATATATTCAACTAGAAAACAAATTTTCAATTCGTTGGTGTATACAAAATATTATGTAAATATTTGTTTATATTGAATTTTTTATTTTACTCCTTGAGTACAGACTAGAAAAAAAAATGAATAATAATGTATTTTCATCGTGTAACGTGATTTTTTTCTTTTTTTTAAACGAACAATAATTTTGAATGATTCGATAAATTTTCGATGAAATTGTTTGTTTAATTATTAACAATAAAATCGTATTTGTTCGATCTTTCCTTTCGATTAAAAGTCTTTTTATTCTTTATCAATAAAATTACTATCAAGCGTGTATACATATATATACATTCATAGAACCACCAATCAATCGTGATCACGAAAGTCTATTGTACCAAAATTACCGGTCTCGTCGGCCTTCGAACATGTAATTGAATTTTCGCGGAAAATTACTATCACCAATCGGAATTCTGTTTACTAATCTTGTTAACCGTTCATGAAATGTGTGTTTCATTCGTTCGATACACTAACAATAAATCAATATTTAACGACTATGCGTGGGATTTTATTTGATCATTTTTTTCCTGTTTTTTTTTAAACAAATTTTTTTTATCGTTCTATTGTTCAAACAAATATTATATATATATATATATATATATATATATATAATATTTTATAGTAAATAAAATATAATATATATTTTATTTTATTATCATTATATGTATTATATATTTTTTATTTTATATCATTATATATATATACATGAAATATTAAATATATTAAATATATATAAAAGGTATCCTATTACGGTTAAAAATAGGAAAAAGCAACATTTTTTAAAATGATAACGTTATCTTTTTAACATGGAAAGACCATTAGTATTTTCTTAATAGTTATTTCACAATACGAGCTTCCCGTTGTGTTTGAAGCATACGACAAAACATTCGTTAATTTTAAAACAGCTTTAAAGTAAGTTCATTATAAATATTAAAAGCTCTTATGCATGCCACGATGCTTTCTTTCCTTTCTCTCTCTCTCTCTCTCTCTCTCTCTCTCTTTCTTTTTTCATTTTTTTTTCTTTCTTATCGGTCTCTCGGTTTGTTACCACATTGCAACTAATTACAAGTATCCGGCGAGCGTGTAACAAATTAATTAATTAAAAAAGTAATAAGTCTGACGATAATCGTTGTTAATTATTGTATTGTGATTATTTAATACGAAAGAAAAATTGTGGATATAAAATATATTTGAATTTAAATTAATTAAAAAAAAAAGAAAAAAAAAACAAAGTAGTCATCTAATTACAAGCTAAAATACTTAAAAGTAACGCCAAGCGGAAATCTAAATATAATCAACGGCATCTCGAGTAAAATCAACGGTTGCGTTTGTTGTGCGTTCTCGACGTAGGAAAACATAAAAAGAAATTGAAAAGAAATAAAAAGGGAAAAAAGGGGATAAATAATCATCAAAAAGAGAAATAAAACATCCTTCTTCTACCATTCAAGTTAAAAATGTCTATCGAATGGTAGGAATAAGTCCCCGAATCATGAACTACTTCTATACTTCTCAATTCCACTTCTTTCGCATGGCCTTTAATCAGTGTTTATTGTTAGTAATTTATAGTTCACGGTCGAATATATCGCTCGGCGTTTCGTTTCGTTTCGTTTAATTTAGTTTAGTTTAGTTTCATACACCTTCGTAATATCTTTTAACGAATGAGTAATATGCAGGAAACAAGTGTAAGAAATAAAAATTATTTACTGAGGAATAAGAGAGAGAGAGAGAGAGAGAGAGAGAGAGAGAGAGAGAGAGAGAAAACAAGAGATGATGGAACAAGAAACCGACAATTATAATTAAAAATACCGCGACTTGTATTTAAAATTAATTTCTATGAAATAACAATTTTGCAATAATGATAATACAAAGAGCGCGACTTATAAAAAAAAAAAAAAAGATAAAAAGAAAAAAACAAGGAAACTTAACCGTAAGATATTTAATAACGTCTTATTGTTAAGTGTCTACTATTTCTACGTCTTGTTAATTATACGTAAGTAGAAGAAGCAACCACCCATCACCCACGCACACGATACACACAAATATGAATATATAGGATACATATATTTACAACTACGGATGAAAATATAACAGCTAAAAATGTAAAAAAACTATTAAATTTTTGTTCGATAATTTTACATACATGTACATATATATAATGCAATATATAAATACTACATCATATATATGTATACGTATCATTTAAAAATAAAAAATAAAATAAAACGAAAAGAAAAAAAAACTGAAGTAAAAGGAAGAAAGTAGTAGGTTCTAGTGCGCAGTGTATAAATCGTGTGTGTGACTCGTGTCTTATTCGAATCCTCGTTCGCTCAGTATTACGTCATTTACATAGCAAGAGAGAGACACTAACGTTCACACTATTACACTACTACCTAGAACTTGTAGTAAAAATACGTCTTACGGTCATCTTACGTTAGATGTATATAATAAGATAGATGAAGAAAGAGAAAAAAAGTAAAAGAGAGAGAGAGAGAGAGAGATAAGTAGATAATAGACCAAAAAAAATTATACTAACACAAATATATATACACGTAGAAACAAAAATACATAACATATATACACGTACGAAGAAATCGGCACGTCAAGGTTCTTCGTCTCTAAAGAAAGATAAGACCATACGTGAGATATTACAAAAGGTGTGTTCATCGTTTCATAAATTTATTCATTTTCTTTCTTACCCATCTCTCTCTCACACACACATGCACACTCTGATTAACTCTTTCTTTTTATTTCTAGGCGTACGTGTATTTTCACTCGTATACTTATTATTTTTTGTTTATTTTTAATTATCTATCGTTACCTCTATCTTCAATATCTTCCCTTTTTCTATCATCGAAAAGATATGATTAACGGTATTATTGTAAAAGTAAAGGGAAGGGTGAGAGGGTTGGAGATAAAATAGAAAGATTAACGTATACTTTTCACACAAACGCCATAAATCAGCAAAACACGTGTGAGAATATTTTGTTATTCATTAATCACAACCCCGGCTTAAAACTTCCAACTAATTCATTTTCTTCTCTTTTTCTTTTTTATTTTCCCTTCGTCAATGCTTTTTTTATTTGTTTAACGAATATAAACCATAAATCAAAGAAAATCGATTATTAGGAATTATAAATTTACATGTTCGGTGATGATAAGACAACCAATTGCTAGCTAGCACGTGTATGCTACATAATCCATTTCGATAGTGCTTATCGATTTCTTTTTTTTTTCGTGTTGATGTAACATATTCTTTCGTTAAAATCGTTATTGAACGATTATTTTATTTCGATTCTATTCGTAAAATATATATATATATTTTTTTTTAAATAATTAATTTCGTTGCCAGTCGACAAATCGTACACAAATCGAGAATAAAATTGACGATTCATACAAATGAAATTTTGTCCATGTATGGTTATTATATAGATCCATGAAAATGATTACAAATCGGTTAAATTACCTTTCTCTTTTTTGAAATACTTACGAGTACTTCGATAAAATAAAACATAATTTTAAAAAGAAAAGAAAAAAAAAAGAGACAGACAGAATACTAAATAACAAATCAACAACGCGCTTATTTCTACGAATATCGTAACATATCGCATAGTCAAAGATAGGTATTTGAAAAAAGAAAGAAAATAACAAAAATTGTACAAATGAATGACAATGTAAGCGTACATGTAAGTATTGTAAGCGTACACAAAATATTTTCCGAAGAAAATAAAACGTCATTATATTTTTTTTTTTGTTCCTTTCGATATAAACACAATTTTAATATACGATATGATATATAGATTCGAGAATGAGAATAAAGACGACGTAACGCAACACGTGGATAGATAGGTCGAATTCGAGACGAAATTTATAATGGTACTACAGTTAAAAAAGATATATTAGCCTAACTCACCAAAAAAAAAAGAAATATATATATATATATATATATATATATATATATATATACTATATTTAATTTACTTTTCACATAAAATAATAAATATTATATGTAAAAAATACAAAATGTTAATAACTAAAATAAAAACGACATTGTGTATAATATGTATGTTAATAATACCAAATGAAAATGATATGTTGTTACAAATTTGAAGAAAAATGAAAAAAAAAAAAAAGGAAAAAGAAAATACAAGAGTAATAATGATGTCAGACCGGATCGAAAGAAAATAAAATTATCGATCGAGTTACTACGAAACGACGAAAGGAAGGGCGTTAATAACGTGAAACGAATGTATACGTGTGTGTGTGTGTGTGTGTGTGTGTGTGTGTGTGTGTGTGTGTGTGTATGTGTATACGTGTATGTTTTTACGTAGGAGAAAAGAAGATAAATAAATAAGATAATAAATAGAAATGAAATTTCTACGAAAAATGTATACATATAGAAAAATTCTATATAGGGGGGGGGGGAAACAAGCAAATTATTTCTCTTTACTCATTAGCGATTATTATGAAATTTACGTTACGTTAAAAGTTGTTCAATGTTTTATACATACATCTAACACTCAAATCCAATTCTTATGATTCATTTGTAGAGATCATAGAATATTAATCGATGAATGAATGATCGATAGATCAATCTTCCTTCCTTCCTTCCTTCCTTCCTTCTTTCAAGTTGCTTCTAAAATTTCACTTGCTGATGACGAAAACACTTTTTTCTTTCTTTCTTTCTTTCTTTCTTTCTTTCTATCCTTCTAGTTGTCTATTTACCTATTTATCTAATTATCTTTTATCTATCTATCTATCTTTATTTCTTGTTAGATTATACGCACGAATGGTCACACGTCGAACCGAACACTCGTTGGATCAACAAACGACTGGTTAACAACGCGCGCGCGGTGCGCTTCGCGCTTTGCTCAACATTTGCGCGCGCGTTCTTTTCTTGAGGTTTTTTGAAATGGCGCATGCGCATCGATCTCGTATCACACTATTCGTCAAAAATTTTCCAATGAAAACAGATAAGGACTATTTGATAACAGACTACAGATATTAATTAAAACATTCATTTTTTTTACAAGTTACCACACGATAGTTATATATATAATTATATATTTTTTTCTTTTTTTTTTCTTCCTTCAAAGAAATATTTTTATAGAGGTTTTTTTTTTTTTAGCAAAATAATGTCATAACACCATGACCCTTACATTCGTCTCCATTCCGTTGTAATTATTGTCTCCAGGAGTTTTCAACGATAATAAATGGAACTTCCTTTCACTTGGCTTGGAAGAAGAAAGAACTCCGATACAAATATTTTATACAATAATTGATGTACAAAACCTGTTCGAGAAAAAACATCACTTTAATTTGTTTTTATCTCGTAAATAAATAAATTAATTTATCGTATCTTTTACACACAAAATTCGTACACTTATATTAAAATCAAATTAATAATATTAATTATTTTGTAATGAATTATTTCTAAAATAGATCACCTTTTATTTTTTACCAGTTGTAATATGAATTTGAGTTAGTTACAAAAAATATTATCGAAAATTAATGATGTAACAAAGTCATAGATAATTGTTCAAAGGTAAGATTACGTTCGCATCGTGATTATATTAGTGGGAAATTCCAAATGATGATGAAAAAGGTCAGTTAAACGATTTGCGAACATATTTTTTTTTCTTCTTTTTCTTTTCATTCCCATCGTCGTTAAGTATGTCATTATATTATCTCGGTGAAAGGATTCTTCTAGTAGCAAATATTTTTCTGTAAAAAAAGAAAAACATAAAGAATTAAAAGATGTTAAATAATAATATTAAAATGCATTCGTCAATAATGTTCACCACGAATTAATTGAAATACCAGGGTTATTGAATACCATTCGATGATGATCGATAATAGATGACCTTATATGCATGTACATTTTGACTGAATTGGATACTTCATATACAATACACATATGTATTTAGGTATATATGTATAACAAATGTACATTGGTGAATAGTTTGTCGAATAATATTAATCAATAATCATTTATAGATCTAAATTAAATATAATACTTAGAAAATAAAAATGAAATTATTTCATAATAATTATATTATCTTTTATCTTCCAAATCTTTCATTTCAGCGAATAATATTAATCAATAATCGTCTATACATCTAAAATAAAAGTAATACTTACAATACAAAGAATTGAAATTATATTTTTCATATTAATTTTATTATCATTAATTCGTGACAGACCGTGTAAACATTTAAATATGTAACAATCCATTGACTTATGAAATAACGATTTAAAAATATTCAAGTATTTAAAAAAAATGATCAAATGAGTATCAAATATAGTGATTACAAATTATAATATTTGATGAAATTTATTAGAAATATTATAAGATATACTTATCGTTAAATGATTAATAATAATAATAATTATAATAATAATAAAAAAAGAATACTCACTGTTAGATAAAATTTAAACGTGGAAACGATCAATGCCTCCGACTATTTGTCTTTTTCTTCGTTAAAACTTCACTGGTTGGATGAGTATATAATTTAAAAGTTGGTACTACTCTTGGGGTATGGGAAGTGGGAACATCCAAATCCGGCTTGACGATATACGGTGGTTTTATTAAACGAGGGGCTTACCTTCGATAAAGTAATATATTCATATAATATGAAACGCAGAAAATATTTCCGTATTTGAATGTTTAGTTATCATACAGGTACGATACAATAACCTAAAAAAGTAAGTATGGTGAATGCTCAACTTACTGTTTATGCATAACCTTAATGTCTGTGTAGTATGTCATAAATTCGATATCACGCGCATTTTTATCTATTAATGTTAATTTTCATGACATATAACATATTATGTTGTTATTAATTTTTATTGTTTTTAATCAAATGCAATTAATATATGCGTAGTTATTGGCAATATCTTTCCAGCTGTAATATGAATAAAGCTCTTATTGCATGATATATATATATATATATATATATATATATATATATATATACATAAAATCTTACATTTAACTTATACAGATTCATCTTTTACCAATATACATTTAAATAGTAATAAGCACTCATGAAGGAATGTTAACATTGTTACATTATATTTTAGATAAGGAAGAACAATCATTGGTCTGTAGATCATTACTAATGAGACGGAATGTTTGTAAGAGTTTGGTCGAGCATTCAAACGTGGAATGAATGAGGAAGAGTTATTGACACGGTCAGCTGCGGAGCGTGATAGAATATTCAGCTGCTATGACCGTGGCAGAGAACATGGAGCCCAAATCGATGCGTGGGAAGATCCTGGTTATGAAGTATATCATACTACCGACAGATATGGGTTTATACAGTAAGTATTTTCTTAGAATTTCATTATAATATATAATTTATCATTTAATATCTTGTTCGTTTGTTGTTGTTTTACAGCGATAAAAGATTACCACGAAGGCTAGGTCCAACTGAAATAAGACTTGATCAAATAGAAATACAAAGATTGAAAAAATGGGAAAAAATGACTAAACAATGGGAAAGTTCGTCGACTAAGGAGAAATTACGTCGTAGAATATATAAAGGTATTCCAAATAGATTTAGGGGTCAAGTATGGACTTTATTATTAGGAATAAAAACTCTAAAGGAAGAACAAGCAGGCAAGTATGAAGAAATGCTTAAACTTGCACGTCATTGGTCCACCGAAATTCGGCAAATTGATGCTGATGTTGCTAGACAATATAGGGATCATATCAATTATAGGTACGTTATTTAAATACTTTTATCTTTATTGTTATTTAACTCTTAGATTATAGAGTTAACTTTTGTCGTAGGGAGAGATATAGCATAAAACAGCGGTCTATGTTCTATGTGTTAGCTGCTTATAGTATGTACAATATGGAAGTAGGTTATTGCCAAGGAATGTCTGTTTTGGCCGGTTTACTTTTACTTTATATGGATGAAGAAGACGCATTTTGGGGTTTGTCTGTATTACTTGCCGATAAAAAATATAGTATGCATGGTAAGTATATTTGTAATGACTATTATTCATTTTGCTTGAGTTTCTTTTTTTCATTCTTTTTTTTTATAATTGATATAATAGCATGTATACCTGGTATGTATGTATTAGGGAAATAAACATTCATAATTTTTAGGATTTTATGTTGATGGTTTTCCTAAACTAAATCGTTTCATCGAACATCATGATAAAATAATGAATAAATTTCTACCAAAATTAAAACGAAAGCTTGATAAGTGTGGTTGCGATTCTATATTGTACGCATTGAAATGGTTCTTTGTAGTTTTCCAAGAACGAGTAAGTACCATGTTACAATGTTGCATTATTAAAACATTATGTGTATGCGTTAATAATTTTCATCTTTATCTTGTAGACACCTGTTAGCCTTGGGCTTCGTATTTGGGATATATTTTTATTGGATGGTGATCGCATTCTACCTGCAATGGCATACACTATCATGAAAATGCATAAACGAAATTTAATGCCAATGGAAAGTCTCGATGAATTCTGTAATTATTTGCAAATTAAATTGGAACAAGACTTTGGCTTTATCGATGATACAGTAATTAATACTATGGAACGTTGCATGGAAGAACTTAAACGTGCCAAATTAGATTATCCAGGCCCTCCTTTACCACATGAATTGCCGCAGTATCCAGTTGGTACATTTAAAGAACCCTCTTTCACTAGCAAGGTATTAATAACACAAATAAAATAAAATAAAATAAATTTAACTATAAAAGCAAGTACATTAAATAAATTACATTTATTATACAGGTTGGACGACGTAGTGAAGAGTTCAGTGAAGCACAGCATATGATGCGTGAGTCAGTAGTACAACGAAGGGATATGGCTCTTGTCGAGGAAGGGAGAGAAAGTACAACGCCGGTTGATCCAAGTAGTGGTGGCCTTGGTGGTAAGTTTGAACCTAGTGACACACACAATAGCAGAGATAGTACTATTTGTCAAACCGTATATAAGGGTGATGCAAATGAGAAGAGTGACACTGAAATTGATTCAGCAATTGATATTATACTTATATATAACACTAGATTATAAAACAGACTTTTTAAATCTAGATTGAAGTTAGATAATATATATATAAAGAAAAAATCAATGATATGATTATATATATTGAAATATATTTTGAAGTAAAAAGATCATTGTAATTTCTGTAATAAATGTAAATATATTTTTTACTTTCATAATACTTCTTGTGATATATGTATCGATTAAAGTTATAATTAATCAATTGATAGAATCATAAAAAAAATTATCTACAGTGATGACATTATGAATACCTTTGCACGAACGGCGAATCCTCAAAAATACTAATACAAGCAATAAATTGTGAATGTATGTGCAGGGAGCAAATTCTCATTTGATCCAAGTCTTGATGATGGTGCGTCTCCCAATGGCTCACATCGGTCTTTGGCTGACACATCTGTTACCTCCACAGCTGATCTTTCTGTATTTAGTTCCGCGACACGGTCTCAAGCATTAGACAATAGTCTCGATACTCAGAGCAATGTTTCTAATGGTAGTTCTGGTAGTGGTGGTTTACTTACACCAAGGGCAACACCTCATCAACCAAGTCCTGATATTGTACGAATCTATGTACCATATACTTCACCTTCCGCAACTTCATACAAGGACGATCTTCCTCGTACCCTTCCTCGGTCTTTAGAAACGAATAGAATCCGCATACGTGTTGATCCTGATCAAACTCCTATAGTTGAACACCTCAAGCCACTTTCTTTAGATAGTCCAGAGTTTGAATTAGATCTAAAATAAATAACAAATATGGACTACATAACAAGCATTATAAATAATATTACTACAAACGAAAATAATGAAATTAGATGTATGTTGTATATATCTAATAAGAAAGATATATATATGTATAGAAGAGTGATAATCTTAAACAAAAATATTATCGATATTAATGATATATTAATAATATGAAAATGGTTGCAAAATTAATAATACTATTACATGGTACATCTTGAATCAATTTATTGATTACAAAAGTTCAACTGCAACTTAATTATATAACTCATTTGCAATGACAAGATGATGAAGCATGGCAATGAAAAAATGAATAGATAATTACTACGTTCCTAATACACTATGAAAATGGTATTCCTTGCTTTATTGGCATTCAGAATTTTCATTTCATTTGCATTCCAAATGTTATATTGCTTGCAACATACAATTGAAGTATTATTGGCTATGATTGGGAAGACAAATTCGAGAAAACGCTGCTCTGCAGGCAAAAGCAAGCGAGTTAAAAACATTATTAATATAAAAAAGAAAAGAAATAAAAAATTTCTATCTATTTGTTTTATAATAGATCAAATATTATTTATTTATGTGCGTTTAGTGACTTAAAGAAAGTACGCTGTTGTAAATTGATTATATTAAGAAACAAAATGTACCATTTATTTATTTTCAATTCTTACGTTTAGTAACTTTATCACCTTAATGTATCATACACCATGTTCTGCTTTAAGAAATGCAAAAATTTGAGTAGTAACGGTTTCTTTTCTTTATTTTTTTCGCAAATTTAAAATTGATCAAAACTTAGTGTATCTTTAATTTCAAGAAAAGTCTATTGTTTTATATCTCATACTTATATTTAGTGCTAGATCTGAAATGTTTCTTTACCTTTTTTTTATTTCTACGTTAGAATTAATGTTACGAACTGGTTATAATATTTATCGAAAAAAATCCGGTTTTAAATTAAGTATTATACTGCCGTAGGATTATAAAAATTTGATTACATCTAAGTTTTTTTTTTAAATATTATTCATGCACTATAAGGAAGAATACTTTTGTAAATAAATAATATCCTTATAGATATGTAAAAGTCGTTAAATACAATGAACGAGTTGCATCAAATCTTCACTAAAGAATGTGAATAATGAACAGTCTAGTATTATACTTCTATACTACTATAAATTCTATACTACTTAAATGATATACTTATTGAGTGTAATTGGACTAAGATATACACATTTTTAATTTATAAACATTCCAATACACATGAACAGATTTTACAACAATTAGTTGTTATATTTAATAGTGAATAAGTAAAATTTGTTGATCAAATATTAAATGTTTATCGTGTTGTATAAATCTGGATAATCCAATACCATAAAATTGTATGACAATGCATTTGCAGATATATAAAAAACAAGTCCTCATATATTAAAAAAGTAAAATTTGTAATCAAAGTATTAAAAAATGCAGATTCTCATAAAAGGTATGCAAATTCATATATTTTTAAGAAACAAAAATTGTACAAGTTGTATATTATAATATCAAACATTAGATAAAATAGAAGATCATTGAACATTATAATATTTGAAGAATACATGTATAAACTATTACAAATAATATACAAATTGTATTAACTGTTCTTTCAAATTAAATATATTTAAAAAAAAATTAATAATAAAATGACCAATGATCTTCTATTATCATTCGATATATTTTTCACTTGACTTATTTAATTGTTCCAAATGCAATATCTTCAAGAACTTATATTGAATTGTAATGACAGAAGTTGAAATAATTACATTTCTAAAATTACAAAAAAAAAATAATATTTAAAAACTAAACAATATTGAAATAAACGATAAAGAATGTAATTTGTTTATATTAACAGTAGTTAAAAAATAGAAAAATTGCATAAAAAGCCGAAGAGTGGACCAGACATATAAAACAATATGGTACTTAAAACTAGCACGATGTTTTTCTAAAAAATATGTTATCTAAAGTATTATCTTTTAAAGATCAACAGCTATATATGTATATTATATTTTACACAAATTATCTTTATTCTTTCCATACTAGCAATATTTTAAATACATAGTTGCATAAAAACATAGTTGCTATAGATCAAATATAGCACCTCTTAAAATTAATTATACTCAAAACAAAACAGAACAAAAAAGTTGAGAAAATTTAAGAAGAAATAAATACGTATCTTTCAAATATAAAATAATTACTACATGCAGTAATATTAATGTCGAAATAATATTGTTGAGTTAACAAGAGAAAAAGACAGAGAGAGAAGGAGAAAGAGAAAAAAATTAAGTCGTGTATCTTAGTTGTTATTGCGAATAAAATATATTTTTTGATTTATTTATTTTATTACTTGAGCATAGGCAAAATGTTGTATAGGGAATTAAGCTTTATATAACTATTGAAAAGAAATTAAATATTTAGAAATATAATTATTATCTCTTTTCTTTTATTTGTATCTTTTTATTAAAATATTTCAACATTAACATTATATAGTATAGAATACTCTTTTGGTATTATTCATGTTCAATTAATAAACTTGCAATAGAAACTAAGTACATATATATATATTATTAATAATAAATGCATTCTCTCTGTGCATTATTCACATTCATATTGCAGCTTTAGTAGATAAATTACAGTTCAAACTTACTACCTGGAAAAATATATATGTATAATGTATAAGAATATAGTTCAAGTCAATATTTTTTTTATACATGTGTCAAATGCAAAAACGTAGTATAAATTTCATGTATGATAAATTATTATTAGAAATGTAGAAAAATATTATATACACATACACATACACACACACATACAATCTAATGATGCAATACTCATGTGTCCTGCAAATGATTAAATGCCTGACAAATCTCATTGTAAATTGACAAAACGCCCAAACAATAAAGACGCTGAAATAAAATTGATTTAGAATAATCATTTCTCTCGAAAATTTTATGAAACGAACAAAACTTTTCAATAAAAAGAAACTTAAATCGATAGAAAACACTCAAAGAAGAATTCATTTAATGAAATGAAATTTTTTAATAAAAGAGGACATTAATTTTTATAATTTATATATTATAGTAATCAAATATTTTAGTTATTTATGCAATATTTCTGACTTCTGTTTAATTTTTAGAAGTCACCAATGAAATTACGAATGCATATTGGTATTTTCATTAAATGTAAGTACCATGTACGTACATGATTTACATATGTAATCTAATGTGTTTTTAATATGTGGTTTATAGTAGAATACATATCGCAATAGTAAAAATGATTTTCATTACGTAATATTATAGAATACCTTATAAATTACAGATGAACACCATAATGTAAGACATATGTAATTTAGGATTAATTTTTATTGCTCTTCTGAGTATTTATCAAAGTATCAATGTATTTCCTATTGGATTTTATCCGCATTAAAGTAATCTGTATTAATAGGTATCGCTTTTCCCTTAACGATTATTCGTGGACCAGTATAGTAACGCCATAAAAGACTACTGCCTCTCTTCACTTGATTGATACTTGATAAATGAGACCAACAATCCAACCAATTATTATAAATTGGCATATTTGGAGGAAGGCCAGCAACCAATCTTATAAAACAAAAATAATTTCATTTATATTTAAGAACTTTTTACAACATACATTATATCGTTAACTTACCCACAGTTATTTACCGCCATGCAATGAGACACTACCAAGAATGGATAAGTAACGGTTGTTGCAATAAACTACAAAAATAATTTCATTATTTAAAATCTCTACATATATAATATAATAATTATTTAATTCACATTTGTATTTACTTTCATTGTGGAAGCTGTATAAGTTTTTAATTCTTGATCATGAATAATATATTTATTAATGACATAAGTCGATGAACTGACAAGAACTAATACCGCAGCATTTGCAATGAGGCGTGGTATTATTCCTGCATAATATCCTGCAATTCCATTTTCCTTATACACTTCTATAAATGATCTAACAATTCCACTAAAATATAAAATCAGATAATTATATAAGTGTTAAAGATATTTATTAATAATATTAACACTTTGACATTTGGTATGCACATATATGACATAGTAGTGTTAATATATATTAAAGTTAATATATATATTTATTTAACTAACTTGTATTTTGTTTCACCGCCTACAAATTGGGCCATCATCCTTAACATTATTACATCCAATGGATGGCTCACTATGATTCCCACCATTCTACTAATTAAATCCCGTATTAACTCATGAATACATCTAGTACGTCTGTAATATTGGCATAAATAACAAACATGATTACATGTACGTTGAAATAATTGTTGTCTAAGAAAAATGTAAGCTTTACCTTTCTGGTTCTGTTAATTCCTCATCATCTTTATTTTTGTCAGGTTCATCACTAAATGTAATGCATTCAGAAGTTTTCTCAAATGCTACCGCACTGAGGGTATATGCACAAAGTTTAGGTACCAGTCCCCGATAACAACCAGCAAATCCATCAACACTTTTGATATATTTAACTAAAACAGTAATAATATAAACAAATTATTTAACAATGTTGAATGAAATATTTTCAACTTTTATAATACTTTAAACTTGCCATATTGAAAAACGTTGGGTAAGGCTAATGCTGGTTTTCCAAATAATGTAAATGTTTGGCGTGGTGGAATAGGTTCATGACCAATCTAAAATTAATAAAAAGATATAAGACTTTGATCTTTTTTTTCAACAGATATAATTTAAAAAATATTTTTAAATTATATTTTTAATATATATATTACAAAATATATACAAGATAATGTTTATAATATAACTTTTTTTTCTTCCTTATTTTGACTTATAGAATAATTGATAAAATTTTATAGAATAATACGTAAGAATAATAATTATTAGTGAATGAATAAATGGATGAATAAATAAGATAGTTTAAAATAGGAGATTGTTTATATTGAGATAGAGAATTAAAAATATAATAGTATTATAAATATTTATATTAAATACCTGTATTAAAACCTTTGCATAATCAACTGGATGTGATATTGTATTTATGAACATACGAATAGGTATGTTAGACCATACATTTTCTCTTTGCGAAATCATAATTAAATTGACGAGTTTGTTTTCACTATATTATTTATCTGAAAGTATAAATAACATATAATAAACAAAAAAACCAAAATAAGAAGATAAATTATTAAAGGGCTTTAAAGTGACATAAACTTTATCAGAATAAAGTATACGCACGTGTGTTTAAATATCGAGGAATAAATAAGATCTTAATAATAAGTATTTCTTTTAATATTTCATGGAAAATTAGAGGTTAAAATTATTTTGTAATAAATAATTTCTTGATTTGCAATATCGTAATTGATACCTAGACTAACAGTATCTTCCTTTGGAAACTTAAAGCACCAAGTATAAGATAAATGATTTGTTTGTACTTTATCAACGGTTATCAAAAGATTATCATCAATACTATCATTTCGTATATTTAATCTGTAATTGAAAATATTGTTTCTAATAATAATTCGATAAGTTTCATATTAGGTATTATCGAAATGTAATAAAATATTAGTTCCATGTTCTCTGCGATTTTACTATTGTAAAATAGTAAAATCGCCGATCATATTCTGAATTTATTCACTTGAACTTTACCCCATAAACGTGGTACAGAAATAGATCGGAGGAACCACCCCACCAACTCTAACGACATTCTATTCTCCAGTATTACCAAAATTGTGAAAACGAAAATGAAAGTCAAGGTTCGTATATAATCGAGTTATTTAAAAATTTCTCAAAGCAACATAATCATTTTACAACTATAAATTATAATTTAATAACACTTTGGTTCTTAAATAATCGATGATCAAATCGATTCGCGGGAATATTTAAAAAATACTGCCGATCGTAAAAAAATAATGTATGCACGTTTATAAATCTTTCAAACAGTTTTGTATAATATAATAATTTTCTTTCTCGTTTTTGAAATTAGTATTGTTCATTTAATTGATGTATTACAATCGAGTTTACCAGCATGATCGATAGATACGACTCTAATCGATTTCAATTTTATCACGACCAATCAAATTTAACGAAGAATTATTATTATTATTTCGAGTAAGCCAACGCAGAAGAAAGAAATACCATTTAATTTTTTATCTAAGTTAGTATCTTGGATAATATCACTGAAATGTGATTATTGGTAAGAAATAAATAAAGAAAGAAAGAAAGAACAAAGAAACAAAAAGAAAGGAATTGTTTTGATTAGTTTATATCTGTAACTTTCGACCCAGCGAAATTTTCCGATGGAATGTTTTTTTGAAATAATTTAATTTGTTTTTTTTTTTTTGTGAAGTTATATAAAATGATAATAAAATTAAATAAACATTAAAATTCATCGATAATTGTAATTACATTTGTACAAATTCACATGTTATAAAGTCCGATTTAACATATGACGTATATGTAACTTGACAAAGGCATACATCATTTTAGGTCAGCTGATCCAGTTAATATTATGTTATTCCTTGTAATATAATGGAGTATTTTTGATTGGATTAATCGTTATGTGAGTCTTGTGATTAATTTAATTGTATCTTTGAAAATGTGACATATTCAATAACTTGAAATAATAATAATAACAATAATAGCAATAGTAATAATAATAACAGTATATATAAAGTATAATAAGAATTAATAGTAGTCGTAATATTAAGAAACAAATTAATTGTGATGCTATTTTTATATTTGAGTTAAATTGTGTATATCTCATCTATCGTTACGTATTTTGTTTTAGGTACATAAGTTATGTAAACATAATCATACATGATGCAAGCTTCATCAGCAGCAACTCCTCGAAAATTTCCTGCTTTCGTCTTTCCTACAGATCTTAAATTCTATCTAGAGGATCAGTCTAGTCATAAACAAATTTTGACTTTATATAATCCATATGATTTTCCAATTAAATTTAAAGGTATATATATATATATATATATATATATATATATATATATATATATNTATATATATTTATTTATTTATTTATTTATTTTTTATTAAATTTTAGAGTAATAAAAAGATATATAATGTTATTTATAATATAATTTTGTTTATAATATATCTTTTAGTGCTTTGTACCGCTCCAAATAAATACAAAGTTGTTGATCCGGAAGGAACGATAAAGGCAAAATGTTGTGTTGACCTTGTTGTAAGACATACGGCTCTCTTAATTAGTAATTGCAATGTGACCGATAAATTTAGAGTGCATATGCAAGAACATCCGAATAAACAAGTAATAATATTATACAATATTAGTATTGATGTTAATTCTTTAAAACATATTTCGTTTGTATACTTGTTGTCGTTTTATATTTGTTTTGTAAAAAATTTCAAGGCAACAGGTAAACGAGATGTCGAAGCTACACTTTTACCTGGAGTCGCACCGATTGTTGAAAGAGCGACTCCAGATCCAGAAACGTTTCAACAACTTCCAATAAATGGAGCTAGGCAACAACAATCATATTCGCTTATAACCCAAAATAGGACAATTAATAGTGAGTATAAAAGTTATATTTAAGTGTGGAGCTTGTTAAAGTTAATTGAAAGGTATAGTGCGATTTAAAACAGCGGAATAGGTTTTTTTTTTTAGAAGTATTGCATTTTTATCTCTGTCCCACAACTATAATTTATAATTACAGACACTTCACTCAAGATACATAAAAATTTATCACTATTGAAGTATGATTTACTTGATGGAGAAATTCAAGATAAAATCATAAATATGAAAAATGCCAATTATATCATTAAGGATAAAGGTTAATATGTTAGTATTTGAATTTAGTTGCTGATTTATTAATATACTGTAACACTGACGAAACTGATAATTCATTTCAATTTTCTTATACGTTATTTTTATAAGAAGTTACAAGAAATGAAGTACGTTACACAGACAATTCTTATTAGAATAACAATAGAACGTAGATTCTTTTTCTTCTTTGCCATATTTTTCAATGTTCTTTCTTCAAAAAAATGCAATAATTATATGTAATTAATAGCTTGTTTTTATTCGGAATCTCTCATTAACGTAAATGATATTTATTATATACATATTAACTAAGTGTCTTAGCAATACCTTCCTTTTTTTAGAAAACTATGAATGTACAAGTTCGAAGAATATAATTATTTTCATCATTTTACAATATAATTGTAATTATATGTATTTTAAATACTTATAGTTACAATTATATAATGCATTAAATTAGAGACAATTTAAAAATAAAATTTAGTTTATACAATGTTAATATTATGGTAGTGTATGTGTATATATATGTGCATGACAAAAACTAATATTATCAGAATAACGAAATAAATTACCTTTCAGGTGGAACAAACTATGTAGCAGTTATCGCAGGAATTGTTTGCATAGCTGGACTACTCTTGCCTACGGAAGGAGAAGCTAGACCCTCAGTGCCTGATTACCTCCATCTTTCCATTAATTTTAAATTAATATTTTCCTTTGTATTAGGTGAGTAGCTTATTTTTTTTTTATTTATTATATTCTATATATAAAATATAATTGCTTTACAGGTATGGTAACAATGATAACCTTTAGGTTGTAATTTGTGGCTGCTTATATAAAGACAAAGACAAAAAAAAGACTTTATACAATTAATAGAATTATGGGGTGAAAGCACAATTAATGCATATTTTTGTTTCTTTTTCATATATTTGATGTCTTGTTTTTTTTTAACTATATGTATGGCCTAGGCTACAAGTATTATGTAGCTAGCCTATTTTTTGAGCACTTTCGAAAATTTAATATAATTTTTTTTTACTTTTTTTTAAATGATTTTTCTTTTCATTAATTACAATAATCTCATTGTAATTAATTATTTTTAATCAATAATCACATAAATATTAAGTATATATATGTGATATATCGCCAATCCTTTTGTATGTATCGATAAGAAATTTGCTTTAGTCGAAATAATCTAGTTTTGCAGCTTAAGGATTCTTCTACGTGCTCTAATCTATAATCATTTTAATAATAATACATTCTAAAAAATATGATCTCATATACATATATGTAAATATATCTTCCTATGTTCAGTAGGTTGCCATTTTAAAATTCTTAATAAAAAGAATTATATAAAATGTCAATAAAGATATCTTTGTATATTATAAAAAATAATACAAATCAATTTGATTTATAGTTTTTCTTATATTAGAAAAAAGAAACAATTTCTTTTAACAATATAAATATTTCATAAGACTGATTAGTCAATTAAGTTACAATATATCAATTTTTTAAATAAAAGTATTCAGAAAACCATTAGCAATGTGTATTTATTATTTACATAAGTTACAATGATGACACTTGTGAATAAAGTGGTAAACCACACAGTTGTTTAGCCCAATTCATTACTGGCAAAATATTTTGAACATTAAAACTGCTACCACGTCACAAGTATCTGTTAATATAATAGTAATATGGTCAAATAAATAAAATAATATAAATAATATTTGGCAAGAAATATCTAACTTACCTTTAAATTCATCACAAAGTGATTAAACTTCATCCCAGTCAGATTTTCATAGCTTTAAAGCCTATGAACATTTTTTAAACTCTCGTTGTGAGTCTTATATTCCATTGATGCGCTTGTTGGAAGATGTAACACTCTCCTAAGTGTATCTCTAATTCTTGCTGTCGTTGCAACATCCGATGCTGTTTTGTTCCAAACACAAATGATATCCTCCTACATTTATTTAAGATAAATGAGATCAAAGTAAATTTGGATGAGAATAAAATGGAAAGGTTATGCACGATATTAATTATTCTTACTTGGAATCTTATGGAAACCACAGCACCACATATTTCCTCCCCTACCATAAACTGTTCACCTAACATTGCTAAAATTAAATTCTCCCAACATCTCGACACCAAGCCTTTTCTTAATCTAACTATCCATTTACCACCTCTTTGGTTTGCTTCGTCCTAAAATTCAAGATTTTTAATTGTATATACTTTTATCGTAATTAATTGAATTACTATCATTCTCAAAGTAACGTGAAGAAATATAATATATGTAATTAAGATGAAAAATACTTACTTCCCACATAGGTTTGATTCCCACTTTGAATAAATGGAAATCTGTGTGGTTGGTTAACTCTGATGGTCTGACTAAATGACTATACAATGCCCAAAATTGTTCCACACTTGCAAACCTACCAACCAATTTCAAATTTTGGTCGTAAGTCTGTATGTTGGTTTGTTTACCAGGACAACGTCTACTGTACCATAACGCGTATGCATATTGTAATTTGTGCTCGTGAGGACTTATTTCTATAGGAGGCTACACATAAACAAAACAAACAACGTGATTTATATACAAGCGCGCGCACTTCATCTAATAAAAAATTAAAAAAAGAACCTTAAAAAATATAAGCGTTAAACCAAATTTCTACTCACTAATATTTCTTTATCAACTTTATTTATATCTTTTGATTGAGTATCTTCATCTCCACTATCTTCATTGATTTTTGATCTGTAAGAATGATCATCATTCATAAAATATGTTTCCTCTGTTCGATATTTAACAAAAAAACAGAAACAAAAAAAAATAAATAATTATTTTATTCTTATTTTATTAATTAACAAGAATAATGCGTCTGGACACAATTCTACAGATAAAAACCACATGTTTAAATTGACTTGTATAACATATAATGCACTGTTGATTAAATCCTATTTTTTGGGGATCGTTTTTTTTTTTTTTAACACAACAAAATTACAAGTAAACGAGCTTCGAAGATACATTAGAAAATAGAAGAAAAACAAAGAAATAAATAAAAAAATATTAAAAGGAAGATAAAGAAAAACACGAGTCAACACAAATGATGTTGTGACAAATGTCGTGTTTTATAATCCACTGGATATTATTAATCGAAGCACTGAAAGTCCACATCGAATTGTAACTCGTACACGATTGTTCTAACAATAGTTGATTCATATCATCAGTAGGATTAATATTTTACTCGAGTTATTTTGCATTGAGTATGAATCTAACCTCCATCGAAAGTTGATTGTGAATAATACGACGATGTAATCAGAGAAACACTATAGTTTCACTTACGCCTCAAATTTATTCGACATGTTTCTTGAAGAGGTATAAATGTGTATAATAGAATATTAATAAAATACTGTAAACGATATATTTCAACAAGTAGGAATATAAATACAAAATTTCGATTGTTGATCTCTCTCTCCTTCTCTTTAGAACATATATATTACATTTAACAAGTTTATTCTCTTCAAGTTGGCTATACTCTAATATTTTACTAGAATTACCTAGCTTTCATTTATTCCTATTTATTTTTTTTCATTGGAAAATCTTGAATTATAGGATAAGGAAAAATATGATTAAATACATGAATACCATTTTAGGATAATAGAACAATCCATTAGAAAACAATAAAACAAGAAAATTGGTAAAATAATAATTGTTACTTTTCTTTTTGTATTTTCTTCCAAATAATATTTTAGTTAGATATTTTTATTTCTAGGGAAAAACGTTAACCTCTTTTCTTATATTTTACTGTATCATATGGAAGTTTTTGTTTGTTTAAATAATCTTTATTCTAACAAATACATTTAAATTATTATAGAAACATACTACTGAAATATCCTAGAAGAGAGAAGGTTTTAAAGTAGCTAAAAACTATTAGCACGGACAAAATATTGCATTTTATATAATAGCAACAAGTATTGGTTGGATGTTGAAAAAAATAGAGCGTGAAAACTGTGTCACAGAGAGGCAACAATAGAATATTTAAGAAATATAATTTAAAATAAAAAGTAGGAATGTTTAGTAGGAATAAACAGGAATTAATGATAGAGATGAAGTGAACTGAACGAAAAAAAAAAGAATTTAAAAGTTTTATAAATCCAAGTCTAAAATTAATAATATATGTATATATTATGTAATAAATATATTTATATTTTATATATTATGTAATTAATAATATACATATATATATGTATATTTATATATAAAAATATGATATATAGATATTTATAAATTTTATGGATGAATTGAAAAATTTTGAGGTTAACATAAAAACTATTTTTTTTTTCTGTTTAACTTATTATTATTGAATAAAAATTTTTTAAAGGCTCAAAACTTTTCAACCCATCTTCGTATATGTTTGCACATATATATATATAAAGTCTTAAATGCTTTTATTAAAAAACAAAAGAATAATCGAGATTGGTAATTATTTCATTTTGAAAATGCTACCTTTAATCGATTCATTATTTCTTTTCGTTGTTCTGTAACTTCTTTGTCACATAAAAATTTAAACGTAATTGGACAATGATATTCCACGTTTTCGGTGCATCTGGTGTTTTTTTCCTCATCTTTTTCAAATTTAAATTCTGACGTTGATTTAACTGAAATTTAAAGAGAGAAGAATCTAGATCATTGAAAGATAGAATTCAAGCCTCATGAAAGTCCATTACTTCAATTTTACAATTATAATTTTCTCTTGTTTTGTCACTCTCAGAGTTTGTTTACCATACCGTTTTAATTTCACTTTACGATCTTTATGAAAATAATGTTTTTTTTTTTTTTCTATTAAGCAAAAATATAAAAGAACTAAGTAAAACAACTTACCACATAGGAACCAAAAGAAACAAGTATTGTGATTCGAACTTATTAAATATATGCCATTTTCATTTCTTATAGAGAAATGGCCAACACCGACATTCTTTATAAGTGGAAAATAACGTAAATATTCGGTATATTCTACGGAATATTGCCAATGATCATAATTTCCACTTTCGGCGATGATGTTAAAGTTAACTCTAAAATTTACAACTTTTTGTAACGTCTCTTTAATTAATAAATAAATATATACGAAGATGGGTTGAAAAGTTTTTATCCTATTTTTTTAAAGTGATCTCAAATATGGTTTCATGTCGAAAAATAAGTTAGTTTGATCGACAAAAAATTTTGTTTATGTTAAACTCAACATTTGCAACCCATCCCCCTTTGTATTTTTATATGTTATATATATTTATAATATATTTTAATTATATATTGTATATATAATTAACAATTAGAGATTACGATGGTAATATACGTACATTAGTGAATTCAATAATTTCATATTGCTAAAATCTGCTACAAATTCCCATACTTTAGCGGGATGTACGTCTTTTATAATACCAACACTTTGTATTCGATCAGATTTCTTATGAATAAAAATGAAATAAAAAATAATAATTGTTATTATAGTAGATATCAAAGTTCTGGTTCTCCATCTTAAAGGATTTATACTCATTTCTGAAAGAAAACAGTTATTATTTTATTATTAATAGAATTATTTTTTAATCATTTACCTTTGCAATATTCTATTTTAAATACTTGCTTATTTAAGATCAACTTTTTCAAAATAATCAAATGAACTTATAATTTCCGGTAGTGATAACACACAACAGAAACTTCTATTTCCGTATTCATACGTTGACTGTATCTGTTCAACTGTTGGTTTTGCTAGCTTGCAGTTTCTTTAAATATTTTATACCTTTACTAAATCTTTTTTAAATTCCTCTTACTAAGTAAATAAAAATAAAATGTATTATTTTAACTTTACATAATCGAAATGAAAATAATCGTGAAAATAATATATATAATTTATACAAAATGAAATACAAATTTTTGACAACTGTAGATGAATACTAACATATACAGGGTGTCCTAAAAAATTGTATTATAAAATTGAAATTAGAAATTTTTGTTAGTAATTATTTGAAGTGGCGTTATCACTGATGCAAACTTTTTTAGCATTAAAATTGAAGATTAAGATCTTAAAAAAAAAACAAAATATTTTAATGCTAATAATAGAGAAATATTTATTTTGTTGTTTTCCTTATTTTTGTAAAGTGATTTTTAAAGACACTCTTATACACGTTTACAAGCTTTCTAGTATTTTTTAAATGCCGCTAGGTAGCGCAGAAGTATTTTCAAAGAAATATTAAAATGGCGGGAAAACCGTGTTTAAATAGTTGATAATTCTTCGTTTCAATTTTAACATTAGTTAATGTCAGAAATATAAGTTTATTTTTTATTAGTTAGAACAAGTAATACTTTCACTATAAAAATGTCAAGATGGACCATCATTCTAATTTAATTACAAGAAATAAAAAGAAACATTTAGCAATATGATTTCACCAAGTAGGTATCAATTATTTTTCAAACTTTTATCAATAATATACAGACATTTTGTTCACATTTCAACACAGCCGTTTATAAATTTAATATTTTTGTTTTCTTTCGAATTCAAATATTTTTGTACATTTGCACAAAAGTTATAATTTTTTTGTACATATCTGTTATTACATTTAAGCAGTAATTTGATGAATTTATATTAAAATATTTTATCTTTTTCATTATTAATATTAATATTATATAAATTTATTATGAATAATACGCAGCTTTAAAATATTATAATTACTGCAATTACCATAATAACGGAACCCTTTTTGTCAAATACAACTATACATTTATAACAAGTACAAATTAAAAAAGCTTATGTTCACTTATGACTATATATACAACTATCAGTGAAACCAGAGAATATAACAATTAATTGTTTCATGTAGTACGTATTTAATTAGTAATAGCAATTTAAATAAAGTTTAATGCAACAAAACCCAGGAGTCACTGATATTTTCTTACTAGAACTGTTCTTCTTTAATTTAGATTCAGAAAAATAGTAACTATTTTTGTACCTGTGTAACACTTAAAAATAAGAAATTAATCTTTACATATATAAAATCTAACTATCTCGTTCTCTAAGTTCTATTTCTACTTTATGTAGGGTAATAAAAATTACTATAATTTTAATTAATGTGAACCAACTAATGAACTTGAGCTTGCGTCTCGATGTATATCGGAATATAAAAATTTATCACTTTTGTGCAACCAATTCCCCATAGTTTTTGTGAATATTTGATAAATGTATACTACACATATCTTTTAATATGAATTGACATTTTTTAGGCAGCATCAAATTACACAGACTTATAAATGTGTATATATATATATATATATATATATATATATATATATATATACGTATTTATGTGTATAAAGAGAGAAAAGAATGTAATAAAATATAAAAATGATGTACTTTCTTTCTTTTCTTTTGTTTTTTTTATAATTTAAAATGCTTTCGCGATACTTGATGGTTTGCGATTGGTAAAATTTTAACGCAGAGACAAAGAACACATATAATACAAAAATAATGTCATACAGACGGGATTCTGTGTTGCAACGAATTATGTATATAGAAAAATGACTAATGAATGTTTTTATGGCTCATCTTATTCGATGCTCAAAAGAAGATCATCTCCTTCCACTCTCATTCCTTGACTGACATCTAACGTTTTGATTTTTCCTGCTTTCGATGCTTGTACTACCATTTCCATTTTCATGGCAGATAAGACAATCAAAGGTGCACCTTTTTCTACCGTGTCACCAACTTTGACTCTGATATCAATAATGGTACCAGGCATAGGAGCTCCTATTTGATTTTTATCACCTTTCGCTGCTTTTGGATGTACGTGCAATTCCTGAGAATTAATAGATGCATCAAATTATTATCTATTTATATTCAGTAAGTGTTCTTTAAAATTGTATAGTAGGGGGATAGGATTGCATTAGGATTACATCATCGATATAGAATATATACTAATGTTGTATTGTAAATATTGATAATAATTTAAATTTAGTATAAAAATGAAATAAAACTTTACCTTAACAGCTTCTTTATCTTTGATGAATACAGATCTCAATTGCCCATTCATTTCAAAGAATACTTCGCGTTCGCCATTTTTCGTAAGATCTTCAGCAACAGCTAATGTTTTTATGGCTAACGTCTTTCCTTTTTCTATAGACACGTCAAAGTCTTCTCCTACCTTTGGTCCCGTTAAGAATATTCTAGTTTCAAGTTTGTCCACTGGACCAAATTGTTCCTTAAAGTTTAAGTAATCGTTCGTAACGCTGGGATATAAGGCCGCAGACATAACATCTTTTTCCGAAACATGTGGATGGGATTCTTGCAATTCTTTCTTCAGTTTTGCGAAATCAAGTGGTTCTAAAGTAGCTCCTGGTCTACCTTTTACTCTTGGCATATCTTTCAAAACCTTAGATCTGAAAGGTTCAGGAAATCCTCCGTGAGGTTCACCTATCGCACCTTGAAGGAATTCAACTACCGATTTTGGGAAAGACAGTTCTTCGGCTTTGTTAAGTACATCTTCAGAAGACAGTTTGTTTTGTACCATGAATTGCGCTAAATCACCGACTACCTTAGAACTAGGTGTAACTTTGATGATATCACCAAGTAATAGATTGGCTTCTCTATATGCTTTTTTAACATCTTCGAAGAATTGACCCAATCCAAGAGAATACGTTTGGAATTGTAGATTCGTGTATTGACCACCTGGAATCTCGTTTAAGTATACATCGGCGTTTCCTGATTTCATCGTCGTAGTACATTCGAAAGGAGCATACAATGTTCTTGTTTGTTCCCAATAAGCTGAATATTCCGAAACATCACTGAGATCCAGATTAGTGTCATTAGGTGTACCTAAAGTTTTTTATAAAAATTTCTCTTTTACAAAGATCTGCATTACATAGCAGGAGTATATGTATTAAGAGTTACGAATAATTTACCCTGTAATGCTGCAACAATAGCTCCCATGGAAGGTTGACTGGTCATTCCAGACATGCTATCAACAGCAACATCAATAACATCTGCTCCACTTTCTACACATGCTAGCATAGATGCAACTCCGACCCCAGCAGTATCATGAGTATGAATATGGATTGGTATATCAGGATTCTTTTGTCTAATAGCATCGATCAACATTGCAGCAGCTTTTGGTTTTAAAAGACCTGCCATATCTTTGATCGCTAGGACGTGAGTGCCAGCTTTGATTAGTTCATCCGCCAAATTGGTGTAATATTTAAGATTGTATTTTGTACGATTAGGATTGCTAACATCTCCGGTATACGAGATTGCGGCTTCTACGATTCCACCGGCTTTACCGGCTGCTTCCATTCCTGAACAAGATATTCATTCATTAATCATAATGATTCATTAAAATATATATATATATATATATATATATACTATATTTAATATATTTATTAAGAGTAGGAAGTAATCTTACCGATGATCAAATTAGGCATGTAATTCAACGAATCAAATACCCTGAAAATGTCAATACCCAATTGAACGGATAATTCGCAAAATTTAAATACAACGTTGTCCGGATAATTCGTATAGCCAACTGCATTGGCACCTCTTAGTAACATTTGGAATGGAATATTAGGAATGGCTTTTCGCATATCTTCCAAACGTTCCCAAGGGCACTCGTGTAAAAATCTTAATGCTACGTCAAAGGTTGCACCACCCCAGTTCTCCAATGAATAAAGCTTGTTGAATTTGTGTGCCACGAAAGGTGAGATCGTTAAAAGGTCGTGAGATCTGACTCGAGTAGCTAAAAGAGATTGATGAGCGTCACGGAATGTCGTGTCCATCAGGAGCGCACCTTTATGTTGACGAATAGCTTTGGCAAATGCTTCTGGTCCTTGTTCTTTGTAGATATGACGGAAACCTTTTGGTGGATCCATAACTCCTGCAAAATTTACATTTCGTTTAATCGGTATGATCTTTTCTTTCTTTTTTTTTTTTTATACCTCATAAAATAGAGAAGAACGTTTTAACGTACGTTTATTACTTTCCATGCATGAACACACATAAGCAGTGATGCAACAACAAGTAGACAATCACAATGTTTGTAAATTTAAAGAAGCTGCAAGTGATACGCACCGTTTACATGTAAATTATATTTTTTATAAATATATTTTAGATCATGCAAAGATAATATCCAAAAGATCGTGTTGTAAATATAAAAGAAACAAAAAATCTTCCTATTTGCCAATTGTTTTTGTATATATGACACATATATACGTACTTCTTTATATCGTGACACAATTTTGTATCTACTTATATTTTTATGATGATATTTTGTTGGTATTCCGTTCATACATACATACATACATACACACACACGCGCGCGTACATACATATTTTGCTGCGTAGATAATATTTTTGAAAATTACATTGCATCAATAATATCTAGAATATGTATTAATTAGACTAAAAAACGATTATCGAATCATTTTTACAAGCTATGAGCATTTTTCAATTTGTATGTACAATAATGAATGGATACTTGATAACAAATCTATAAAAATAATAAAAAATGAGTCAATATTGTTTGCCTACCTGGTGCATCTGGATCATTGCTTTCCTCTGCTGCTGCAAGCTTAGCAAAGTCTAAAAACATTGCCAAACAATAAAATAATAAAAGCATGCGATAAATAATGTGAAGTGTAATAAGTTACGAGGGGACCATTAATTTCTAATTATTAACAATTATATCCGAGGTGCGATCAAATTTAATTACGAAATATTTACCATTAACGATTTCATTCTTTTCAAATTATAGATTTCTATACGCACAACTAGGATAAATCATTTAATTGTTTCATTATTAAGCATGCTCGTGATATTTTTTTTAAATAAAATTTTTAATCACAAATTTAGTCACTTTTTCGTCTAATAAGTTTCAAAATTAAATCAAAGAAAGAGATCGATGAAATAATTATAAATCAGAAATACGATGGTATGAGCATGAGCGAAATTAAATAAAAAAAAAAAAAAATAAAAAAGAAACAAAATAAATAAAAAAAAAAAGGAGTGCACTTTAACGCAGAGTGCAATGGTGTTGCGTACGATGACTTGGTGCGAATAGTGCGAACGATAATAAATATACGTAGAAGTGTTAACAAAAATTTTGTCCAATTGTTTGCCCATCATTATTATTACCACCAATCATCAGAGAAAGCAGTACGTTTGACTTTTTATGGGCTAAAAATAGGGTGTCTCTGTCATAATAGAATGTTATTTAGCGATAGTAAAATTTAGATTAGCAAAGAATGAGTTCAGATTATGCACACGACATTAAAATCACCTTATAAGAAATCATGATCACCTTCTGGCAATCGTTACCAGGTCAATAGAAGAGAGAGAAAGAGATAGATAGATAGATAGAAATAGAGACTAGCAGACACCCTAAAGGCGAAATATAAGAAAACTTATGCTCCCATTTATTACGGATCCACGTTTATATCAAAGCGTATCCTTCCGTAAATTTGTAGCGTTTGAAACTCGTTTTCCACTCGATAGACTAGATATCGTTATTAATGTTTTCTTTCTTTTTAAATCTTTCGAATTAGAATACAAGTTATAATAATAATAACAATAATAATAATAATAATAATAAATACAAACGCACAAGCACTTTTGTTAAGTTTTCAAATGTCATACCTAATGCAATCTGTGGAACGTGAGGTTTGATTTCTGCAGGTTTCAAAGAAGTAGCCAATGGTGTGCTAGGTCCATTGACGAGAACGGTTCCTAAATAATTCAATAACTTTTGAGCACGATTCTGGCTCGGTTGAAATTGAAACAATTGTGGATTCTCGTCAATGAAATACGTGTCGACGTTTCCATTAAGGAATTTTTGATTCTCCAGTACGTTAAGTAAAAAGGGTATGTTAGTTTTTACACCGCGAACTCGAAATTCGCGTAATGCTCGATTCATCTTTGCACAAGACGATTGTAGATCTCCGGCATGAGCGATTACCTATTAAAATTAGGAAATAATTATATTCGTTTGCATAGAAAAATTTGTTTAGTTTCGATTTGTAATTGTCCTAAGTACCTTAACAAGAAGGGAATCATAATATGGTGAAATAATAGCACCAGCGAATGCAGATGCACCATCTAATCTTATTCCCATACCCTCTCCCGATCTGAATACTTCAATTCTTCCAGTATCTGGTTGGAAATTCTTAGCTGGATCTTCAGTTGTAACCCGACACTGAATGGCGAAACCTTGAGGAATAATTTTCTCTTGGGTCATACCAAGCTCCGGTAAAGTGATCCCTTCAGCTATACGTACTTGAGATTGAACGAGATCAATCCTAAAACATATATAGAGAGTGTTGAATAACAACGAATCATTTGTTTTATAACTCGTATCATCGTATAAAAGACAATTTTCAAATTACCCAGTGATCTCTTCGGTAACTGTATGTTCAACCTGTAACCTAGCATTAACTTCAATGAAATAAAAGTTTCCTGATTCGTCAACTAGAAACTCGACGGTACCGGCATTCGAATAACCAACATGTTTAGCCAATTTCACGGCATATTCTGTCATCTTATCTCTTACTTTGGCATCCAATCGTGGTGCTGGTGCAATTTCCACAACCTGCAACATTTGTAAATATAATGTATCAAGTATATATATAAAACGATCGATGATCTCACCTTTTGATGCCGACGTTGAACCGAACAATCTCGTTCGTAAAGATGAACGACATTACCGGCTTGATCACCGAGTAATTGAACCTCTATATGCCTTGGCCTTTCGATAAATTTTTCTATAAACATTGCACCGTCTCCAAAAGCTGCCTTTGCTTCGGACGAAGCACGTTCGAACATTTCTTTAACCTCTTCCATTTGCCTGACCACTCGCATACCTGTCGATTTAATTAAATCATACTGATATACGATCATTCTTCGTTTAATAATGAATAAAAATTTAATTCCGAAAAAAAATAATCATCAATTACTAGGGTCTACCTCGCCCTCCACCTCCGTACGCAGCTTTGAAAATAACGGGAAGACCATGTTTCATACAAAATTCCATAGCTTCGTCGCTTGTTCTCACTGGACCATCCGTTCCTGGAACTATTGGTACTCCAGCTTCTATAGCAGCTATTCTAGCTGCTACCTAATTACAATAATTATCTCGTTAAATTTGAAATACGTGTTTTTCATGAAATAACAAAATATTCATATCATCGGGGTAATAATTTTAATTTGTTATTTTTTTTTAATAATTATCATTTTATTATTATTTTTAACTTTTTTTGTTTAAATTAATAAAATAAGAAGATGTTAATATCTAACGTAAATGTAGTCGTTTATTATTTCATTGTATTTGTAAAACTTTCATACCTTGTCTCCCATTTGTTGAACAACCTTCGGACTAGGTCCGATGAACCTCAAACCAGCATCTATCACAGCTTGAGCAAAATCTGATCTCTCAGATAGAAAACCATAGCCTGGATGAATGGCATCTACGTCATTCTCTTTGGCAACTTGTATAATCTCTGGGATATTAAGATATGCTTGGACCGGTGGTAAACCTCTTCCAATTAAATAACCTTCGTCAGCTTTTTGTCGGTGCATTTGCATTTTGTCTTGTTCGGAATAAATAGCTACCGAACGAATGCCGAGTTCGTTGCAGGCACGAAAAACACGAATTGCGATTTCCCCTAAATGATAGTTAATAAGCATAAATGAACACATATATATAATTTTTAATTTTTATTTTATTCACGCAAAAACATGAAAAAGATTTATTACAATTTTTGTTTTTAAAATAGTACAAATTTATTTCAAATTTATTTCAAAATGGTATCTCTCAAAATTTATTGATCGTAGTGAGGAGAGTATTGAAGTGATTAAAAAGAAACGTAGTAATTCAGTAAAGTAAGCAATCAGGAAGATACTTGAGTTACATTAAATGGATAAGCTTTGGGGATTTCATTAAGGATATTGCGATTTTATCTACCCTTTTTGAAAGAACATATTTTTGTTGTTTGTATGTTCCCTGGATTAATACCTAATCGATCAAAGTCCAGATAGATCGAAGCAATACTTTCACAACAAGTTAAGTTGTATTATTTAAATAGACAGGATGAATGATCGTTTGTTGAATTATAAACGTCAGATTTAATCTATATATATATATATATATTTTTTTTTTGTCACTTTTATCACGAGTAAAGTACTCGTGATATGTCCCCTCCCGTGATTTATATGATTTTAGGGTTTACCCGTTATCCTAAGTGTTAGTCAAATAAGTTCGACATTTGTGAGGGATTAGGAGTTTTTTTTTGGACTCAACATATTGGATTGGTTGCCAAGGGTATTGAGCTAAATAACTTCTCTCTCTATCGTAATGGAGCCAAACGTTTCGATGGGTCAAAGTCGGCAAATAATATCTTAAATTATATTTTTAGGTCAATTCGGTTAGATTAAACTTTATTTTTTTGTTTTCCATATATAATATATAATATATAATATAATTCCTAACAAATAATAGATATATAATTCTTTTCTTTGTTATTTTTTTTATTTTTATTTTATTTCATTTATTGTTATAAATATTAGGATGAATCAAAAGTTTGTGCATTTTTTATAAATTAATTTTAAAATAAAATCTAATAGAAAATAAAATAAAATTTACTTTATTAATAATATAAATTTATTTTAATAAGTTAATTAAATATTAACTTATTAGGTTAATTACTAATTAATTAACTAATTTTTAGTTAATTAATTAAATAATACTACAATTAGTTAGTAATACTATATAAGTTAGTTAATGTAGATTATACTACAATTATATTTGTAGTATTATACTACAAATAAAATAAAATTTATTTTCTACAGTAAATTTTACGAAGAAAAATAAACAATTTATTATTATACAGTTTATAATATAATTTTGTAACACAATGAACACACAAACGAATTTTTGAATTATCCTAATAATTATCGATAAAAAATAAATAATATTAGCTTACCTCGATTTGCCACCAAAACGCTTCTGATAGGTTTGTATTGAACATCGTTGGCAAATAATTTCTTGTTTACGACAGTCCATGTTCGTAGTATTGTTTTGTGCCTTAATAAGGCTCGTTGGGCTCTTATCGATTGCATATTTGATTATTTCAAATTATTATATTATAAATATACGGATAAATGTTTTTTAATTATATTCTTTTTTTTTTATCAAAATTACAATTTTGATATTTAAATATATATATATATATTGTTGATGGTTGCTTTCAACAAATTTTCTCGTTTTAATTGAAATAATCGTTAAAAGTTAATGTTTAACGTTTCTTTTCACTTTTTGGATCATTTTTATTTTCTCCTTTTTCTTGTGTTTCCTTTATTTCTTATATTTGTTTGTTTTTAAAAATAGAAGATTTATTTTATTCCCCCGTCGAATGGTTTTTATTGTATCTGAAAAAAAAAAATAAAATGAAAATAAGAATGATTTAATTACGAGAGTGTTGATTAATATAATAAAATTTTAAATTAAATAAATTTTTCTTTTTTTTTCCTCTTTACAAAAAAAAAAAACTCCATGCTTTAGTTAAAACTTTTATCATACTTTATCAAAACAATAACGCATGATCGTTCATAATAATTAAAATCGTCGGACGTTTTCAGACCATATGTTCAGAGTTCAGTTTATCCTATTTAAAGTTATTAAATGTCACAAGAGTCGAACATAATTAACTGACATTACAAGATAATCCAGGAAAAGGATTAGTATCTGATAGGATAAGTAAAAAAAAAAAAAAATAATAAAATCTCACGAAGGGTCCACAGTCGTTGACCTTTTCCCAATCACACTTTATATAAATGATACTGATAACGCGAATCTCTTATTCAAATATTAATAATAATAATAATGATAATCAATTCTAACGTTTAATGACAAATATTGATTTTTAAAAAATAAAAATGTATATTAAGAATTATAAAATATTTATTATTAATTAAATAATATAAATATAATTAATAATAATATATAAATTAAAACTTGTTATTAGAATGATCAATCACGAGAGTGAGTTGAAAAGTTTTGAGCTAAAAAGAAATAAAAAAAATTATTCCTGTAACTATACACTAAATATATATTATTATAGATATATATAAATATATATAATAAATTTACTATATTTACTATATTATTTATATTAATTTACTATATTGAAATTATAATAAAATTTATTATATTAAATTTATATATAATTTATATTAATAAAAATATACTGTATTTTTAGTATATGTACTGCCGAAGCAAGTACTAATAAAAATATATATTAATATAAATTATAAAAATTATAATTTATATATAAAAATGTATGTAAATATTATAATTTACTTAAAATTTATTCATTTTTATGGTCGAAAATAATTTTTCTTTATAATTTGTAATTATTCATTCTTCTTCTTCTTCTTCTTTATCTTTTTATTAGGACTTTGCCCTGTTATATTATTTATTGTTATGACGTATAATTAAATAAAATTATCAACGTGTTATCATTTATTTATGAAATTCAATTAGAGAAATAGCCGACAGTAATTATCATAAATTAAATTTAAAATGTTTATATTGTCCAGAAACAATTTTCTATTGTTCCGTTTTCTTTTAATGTAAGTAAACAATAGATAAATGAGAACTTAAAACTTCAAGATTTTTTAATTTTATCTCACCACTATATTTTTTTTTTCTCTAGGACTTATTGTTAGTAACGTTTATTGTTATAAAACAAGAAAATACTTTAATCATCTCTCTTTTATTCTCTCTCTTTCACTAGCTTATATATCTCGTGTTAGTTTTCTATTACATATTATTTCGATTACATAACGTATCTTACTCGAGAGACGGCCGTCAATTTACACATATATATGTATAAGGATAACAAATATACATAATGTTATTGTCTTTGTCTCTGATAACGTATGTTATTTACGTTCTCGGTTTAATCATCCTTTTGAAAGACTCAAAAGTTCATTCATATTTACTCCGATCTTTTTACTATGTTTATCCTCTTATTTCTTCCTCTCCCTCCCCCTTTTCCCTTTATAATATTATACTAATAATTTATTTCATTTAAGAATAAAAACTATAGATAATTTTTTTTTAGATAAATAATAATAATAATAATAATAATAATAATAATAATAATAATAATAATAGCAATAATAAGAATAATATATAATTGATCGTATTGAATCGAAAATTTTCAACGACGAAATTTTCTAATAACAGAAATCAAATTCTTTTCTAGAAAATTACGTTGGCATAATCGAAATAACATTTTGCCCTTCGCTTCTACTCGAATTTTATGCGTGGGTGTGTTTCTCTAATTTGAATTCGTTCTTTCTTTATCTTTACGTGACATAAAGTGTGTGCATGACTAATAACAAAAAGAAGTTAAATAATAAATATATATAATAAAATATATGTATATGAAATATTAAAGATCAAATTTATGACAATAATAGAAGTATTAACATCGATAAAAGAAATTGGCGCACACACACACACACACACACACACACAAAACAATATTCGTAAATATTATATGTATATGAAATATTAAAGATCAAACTTACAACAATAAGAGAAGCTTATTCGATAAAAGAACAATTATTGTTATACCATATAATACATCGATAAAAGAAATTGGTACAACAATATTCGTAAATATTATTAAATTAAATACTTACTTAATATAATTAATCGAGAATCGTATTATATAATATTTTCTTGAATTCTTAATTTTTATTTTATTTTATTTTTTTTTTGATTTCACAATCAGTTATAAACCTATTCTGTTACGTACAAGGACTGTGACATTTGTGCAAAAGCATTTCGGCCGAATAGGGTAGTCCTAGTTTTCCCCTACCCTTATTCTACTCAACCCCACCATGCGTGAAACCTTAGTGCGCAACTTTAAGAATGATTAAATACCTCAACTTGACAACGTGATACCTCAAAATTAATGAACTAGTTCGATCAACAACATATTGGATCGTTTAATTTTACCTATTTTTTTTTTATTTTCTTTTTCTTATTTTAATTTTAATTTCCATTTATTTCCTTGTATATTTTTGTGAATTTATATATTATATATAGAGAGGGAAAGTTTGTTTGCATATGTGCCCGTAATTATGAAAGTGATCTAAGTCAAAATTAAAAACAAAATTAGTTTATCAGTTATTTTTACACTACATTATTTTAAACTAAATAAATTCAATGTAATTTCCACGATATTGTCAAAAATGAATCGTTAGATAATGTTTGTTTTTTCAATATTACATAGAATTCATATAATGTTCAAGTAGAAACCTTTAAATATCTCGAAACAAGAGATACATGACTTAGACCACTTTCATAATTATGGGCACATATATATATATATTTTTAAAAAGTACCGAATTAATACCTAATATATATATTTTAGTTTAATTAATTAATACCTCCTGTACCTAATGTACATATTTTTATACGGATTTATATTTTAAAATTATAATCAAATATAAATTGAAACCATCTTATTATAGGTTAATTAAAAAAAAATAAAAATTAAAAGTAAAAAATAAAGAAAAAGATCTTCTTTTTCCTCGTTTAAGGAAGCGAGGGGGTAAGAAGGAGGAGAAGAAGAAAAAATAATCAACATTTCAAAATAGAATTATTCGTTATCGTTAGACGATAATAATACTAATCTTTTTTTTTTATAACAATACACGAAAATATTATTCACCAATGAACTTTGTATTTAGTCCATATACATAAGTATATATGTATATACTTATATAATATATAGTATATTATATTTATATCTAAGCATTATTAATGATGCTATTAATGTACTTTAATAAACAATTCAAGATGCGATAATGTGAGAAATTAAAAGCGCGACAAATTAAAAAAAAAAAAGAATAATACGAATCTTCTCGATAAAATCGATATAACATTTGAATTACATGCGATAGTGCGAGAAATTAAAAGCGCGGCAAATTCAAAAAAAAAAAAAATAGGAATCACATGCGATAATGTGAGAAATTAAAGGCGCGGCAAATTCAAAAAAATGCAAATTTTCAATGAAATTGATACAACATTTAAATTACACGCAATTATAGTCGAACTTCGGCATTGATTTACGTAACTATTTTATATCTAACTAATCAGACGAACTGTTAACCTCGTGCTCTTCGATCATCCTAACATATTCTGGATTTTCCCTCAACCGTTCGATAATTTTTTTGTTATTATTTATTCTTATTAACGTTAACGTCGTATTAATTAAACAACGTTTCAAACGTTAAATTACATTGTGGAAAATAAAATTTATAGATGTCTAGACAAAATATACATGCACATACACACACACAACACGCGGGCTCACGCACCGACACAATGTTTTTACTAATAAACAATTTTCAAGGTAATACAAGTTAGATTTTTTTATTGGATCGTTTTGCAATAGTAAATCGAGAAAATAAAAACGATATCTAACTTACGACATTGTCGTATCGTTGTTGTTATTGTTGTTATCATTGTTATCATCTTCTTACATCACATCGAAACACATATCAGTTTTCTTATATATATATATATATATTTGCATATATGTATCTTAAATATATGTAATATTTTTAAAGCTTTTATTTTCTTATTTTTGTTTATAATTTTATTCCGGCATTGACATGAATATGAAAAACAATTTGAATGAGTTTACCGATTATATTTTGTGTTGTTACGCGTATGTATGATACCAATTATCTTGAATATAACTAGATTAGCTCGTTTTAATGTTACATAAACAATTACAAAAATAATTTTAATAATATTTAAATATTTGTATATATATATATATATATATATATATACAAATAATAAAAATAAAATATATATACAAATATAAAATATAATATTGATGAAAAATTATTACAAATATATTCTAAAGTAGTAAATCTGATTAGGATTTGAAAGAAATATATGTTTTTCCTTATACAGTCTACCGTATATTTCGTAACGATTGCTATGTTATACTCAATGCGTGTTTGTATACATATGTCAATATATACACGCAACTACTATGTAAAAATAATGTATATGAACCGCATATATTTTTTTAGACACGTCATCGTGTATTTTCCTGACTTAATGTAGAAGATTATAATGACTCTAACGTACTAGCAATCAAATTAACTCTTATTTATGTATTTTTGTGTTAGAATATTTTCAATGAGGGGAGGGGAGAGAAATAAAGAATCACAAGAAACCATTGTATCGAAAAAAATATTCCTTTAACCGATTGGCTTCTTTTTAATTAGTTCAATAGTTCTATGGCTTTTATTTAAAAAAAAAAAAAAAAAAAAAGTAATAATCAATTCCAAATTTGTAGAAGGCTTCTCATTGTCTTTATGATTCATTGTTAGACAATTGTTATCGTATAATGAATCTACGAGCAATGTTTTGAAAACTTCTTGATATCGAGTACAATATTTAATAATCAAAATTATGATTTATTGTTTAAGCAAAAATTATATTAACTATGATATATTGAATTTGAACACTTTCATCAAGGCCAAAGGAGTATTCTTGTTTTGATGAATTTTTCATAATGTTACTTTGTTAAAAATATATTTGTTTTTTTTTTTAAATATTTTATAATATATTTTATTTTAAAATATTATTATGATGTTAATGCTTTTATATTAATTTTCTACGTAAGGTTGTTAGGAAAAAAGTACTAAAATAAATATTATTCTTGCAAGTTAATAGAGAAAAAATCAATAGAAATTTATAAGTATTTTTAAAATTGTAATTTTATAACTTAGCAAACACAATGAATAATAAGATACAAATAGAATATATATATATATATATATATATATAATGATCATTTATTTAGTTTCTAAGAAATTATTAAGTATTTGATTCGTCGCAAAGGAAATGATTAATTTCTGACTGTATTACACGCAAAAGAGATAACGATTATATTGGATTAGAAGTTAGATAACTTTTTTTTTCTTTTCTTTTAAAACGAAAATTAAACGAGGTTTGTTCTTTTTCATTCTTTTTTTTTTTTTTTGCATTTAATAAAAGTAAACGCTAATAAAATTTGCATAAAAACAGATATGAGAAAATAAAATAAGAAAATTTGTATAAATGACAGAAGTTAGTAAAATCGATAATTTCAAGCTGCTTATAAAAGAAAAGATAAGTGTTGTCAATGATGTACCATCCTATCCGATTTTTATCTAGTATCTTAAGAAAATAAAGCAATGTGGTAAAGTAAATTTTATCATTGAAAGATGTTCATATATATGAATATAAAATGTATGTTAAGGTCATATTTTAAAATCATTTTTCAGTTTTAGTCTAATGTTATTAATTATTGTTACACCATGCATACGTAATTTTAATTAAATTATTTTAATTTTTATATTTTTTTTTTATTAATATTGTCTATGAAGGAATGCTTCAAAAGTGGCTTTACTTATACAAATTTTACGATTTCAACGAATGGGTTTAAATAAGTAAACGTATGCGTTTAACTAGTTATTTAAATAACATTATATTTTGCAACATTTCAACATACGAATCTACAGTTAGTTATTAACAAAGTATAGAAATAATTACGTAAATCCATTTTGTGATATTATTTAGACAAACAAATGAATCATTATTTAATAAATTATTATATAAATTCATTAGATAAATCAACTTTTGGGACATCCTGTATATGCTATCATTGAGAATGTTCCATAAAAATTAATGAAAACTCTGACACTATTTAAACTAGAAAATCGAGTAATTCTCCTTCGAGTGTCCAAGAGAAGAACTAGTTCAGGGTCAAAAGGAATAAGAAAAAAAAAAAAAAGAAAAGAAAAAGTAAGAAATATTCGAGAATAGATAAATATCGATGACAAAGTTAATTAAAAAATAAAAACAAGCAAACAATGTAACATAATAATTAATTGCAATGAGATTATCATTTATGACCATTCAAAAAAAAAAAAAAATAAAAAAAAGGGAAATTTATCATACGATCATATTATATTTATTTCAATAGTATTATAAGTTAAATCTCATCGTTATATAATATATAATGTAAGTGCATACATCGTAAATATGAAATACTATCGTGAAAATTGAATTGAACAATGTTTAGAAATTACAAATATTATTGACTAGTCTTATCGTTATGATCTGATATTAAAAATAGTTTCGCATTAATAGATAAGATAGTAAATCGAATAATACACATAACAATAAATATTTCTTTTCGTTACTGAATGTATTTTAATTAAATTTAACACACAACTATCAAATAATTATCTTTCTTTTAATCAAATTATTTTCACGATGGATTTCGGAAAAAGTATAATCCGTTTCGATAAGATTGATTTGTTAATACTCGATAAACAATGATTATTATTCGTATGATCGATATATGGATATAATTTGCATTTAATTACATCGAAAGCTGTTTTTTTCGTTTAATCATTGTGTTAGAAACACGTGTTGCAAAAGTACACCGACTCGTCATCATCATCATCATCATCAATATATCAAAATTAAACGTGTGTATGTACGTATATATATATATATATATATACATATATATATATAATATGTTTCTAATTCGGTGCGTCATTTTGTTGGCACTTGGTGAAGCGAATACTTACGTCTCTTTTAAGATTTATGAGAGACAAGAGTAAATAACTATACGTATGCATATACTTAATCATTGAACATACACACACATTATATATTTATTTTATTTTATCAATGAAATTGATTAAACTATTTGTTAACATTACTATCATTCTTGCAAACGAATAAAAATGACCCCATTATTAATTCGAATTAAACAAATTTTAAAACGAAACGAATGTTTAACTTTATATCGCGGTTATATAAAACATTACTCTATCTGACTTATATATATATATATATATATACGTACACCGATTCGTCAAATTTAATTTAATTTTAAAAAGATTTTGCGGAAGAGGAAGAAGAGGGAAAGGGGAGGAAAAAAAATGAGAAAAAAAGGAGGAAAAGTCTGGCGTATAAAAAAAATTTTAACGAGCATTTAAAACGAATTTTTTTTTTTCATATTATGCATATAAACGAGCAGTTAAAGATTGTCGACCGTTTAATATGGTACCGACGTTAAAGATGATAAAACGTGATAATTATTATGTTTAGAGAAGAATTATAATGGTGGATAAGTTCTTTTACTTTTGACCCTTTTTTCTCTTTATTTGATTTTATTTTGAATGAATAAGATTAATAATACGGGTGAAATACGATGTTACCGTTCTTTATTATTATTAATATTGATTATTGTTCTTCGTGTACCTTTTTTAAGGCAGATTCCCGGTATTTTCGTTTTATGAATAATCCGTGTAAAATTATGTCGTTCGAACCTTCGAAAAAGTCTTATCGTTAAAACGAATATATTTAATCATAATTGTCTTTCTCTCTCTCTGTTTCTCTCTTTCTCTTCCACTCAACAACTTATCTCTTCCCCCCCCCCCATAAATTTAACTAATAAACAAATTTTTTTTATCATTTATAAAAATCACGAATGTGTATAGAAGAAGAAGAAAAAAAAAATTGTAATTAATAAAAGTATGTCAGTAATTATAACGTAGCATAATTTTTCTACTTGTTAATGTAAACGGTATATCGAAAAAAAGATATTGGGTTGGTATAACATATGACTTTTAAATATTACTTACACGATTATAAATTTAACTGGATATGATGTTGATGATAATGATGATGATGATAATGAAAATGATGATGATGATGATGAGTAGTAGAAAGACTACGTGTCAGAAGAGGAGAACTCCTGAGCTCGATCCGACTGAAGCCCTCGAGCCGTACTGGATGTTAAAATCTCACCAACCACGCGACAACCCGTTCGTTTTCCTTTCGTGTCTCGACCTCTACTACAAAAATAGTGGCGAACACGCAAAGAAGAACGAAGGCCTCTTGCTGTCTCGTCGTCGTCGTCGTCGTTGTTAATCAGTAAAATTTCTTATTCTCGTTACACGAATCTAAACGATAATGATGATTCCTATATTATCGACATATGATAATGACGTTTTGGTTTTCTTTTTTTGAAGTGAAAACTTCTTTAGAATGGGTGTGATTTGAAAAAAATGAAACACGGTGATATAGTGGGAAAACGAAACCAGGATGTACTGGAGAAAAGAAACGAAAATGCGCGCCTGTATTAATGCAACTCTCCAGACACACTTTGAAAATATTGCTTGCGTGCACTATCTCTCAGGATGTAATTTTTTTCTGCCCGAAAGATAGGCAACCCGTTATACATACGTGTATAAACAGTTTTGACTGCAAAAAAATTCCGTCCTAGTAGATAGCGCTCGCAAGCAACATTTTCAAAGTGTATCTGGAGGGTTGCATTAATACAGGCGCGCAATTTTATAATTAAATTAATAATTAAATAAATAATTACAAATTAAAAGTACAAATAATATTATAATAATATTATATAATAAATTATCCTCGAAACTTGTTTATTTGAAGGTTTCACTTCTAACTTGTGTGATATGCACACATGTTCTTTTTTTTTTAATCATTTACTATTTTTTTTATTCTCCCTCCCTCTACTACATTTTGTTTTATTATTATTATTATTTATATTTTATCGTCTTTTGGTAAGGTAGAAAATTTTCTAACGATTGATATATGTATATATATATATATATTTTTTTTTTAAACATTTCTTTGCCTCTTTATACTTTTCCGCCCTCTTCCCCCTCATTCCTCTCCTTTTCTTTTTTACTTTTGTCTTTCTTTTCTCAATGTTTTTGTTATTTCCATTTTTATTAGATTTTTTTTTTATTATTATTATTTATTTTTGTATACATTCATAGGCCCTAATCAGCTAAATTCCATTGGCCGATCCTGATCTTTCCGATAATAAATGCATCCGTGCTTGTTAATGTCGCGATATCCCCAGATATACGTATATGTATATATACATATATGTATATGTATATATATACACACACATTTACATTTAATATTAATTAAATATATGTACACACAATTGTTTCGCCTACCTAAGCTAACTAATTTTGCAACGAGACTATAGCAGCGAGAATCGATTGCCTTATTTTTTTTGTTTGTTATAAGTTTGATATTATCAATGAATGTGTTATGTAAATAAGTACCATGAAGTAATTACTTACACGTGTATTCTTAATATATATATTCTGTTTTTAATTCTTTTTTCTCTTGGTTTAAAATTAACAAAAAATTATCGTACTATTGTGTCGGCCATGTTGGAAAAAACTTAATCGAATAAATTGTTTTTCATTAATTAATCAATCGTCACTGATAATACCTGTATATATGTATAGAAATGACATACCACATACGTTTTTCACACTAAAAATGAAACAATTAATCACAGAAGAATATACACGTGCATATATATACATATATGTATGTAATTATCCATGCATGGATATATCTTGTACGTATTTTTTAAAAATGATCTTTTCGTATGTTTGTGAGAAGCACGGTATTTGTAATTTATTTTCTTGTTTTTTTTTTTCTTTCAGATTTTATTTTTGTTTTCTAGTAATTTATTTGTTTATATATATACGAAGTGACGAGTTTTAGTAAAACGATGCTGGCCGACTTTCCGTATTAAAAAATAACAAAAAAAAAAAAAAATTACTATTATCGTAATAACAAATATTTCATGTGCCCCTTGCGAAACATTTCGCATAAAATTTCTATAAGTGTTTCGATAATTACGTATATCTGTGGCTTTTGTTGTTGTATCTATTTGTTTTTTATCTTACACTGTATTAGCCCTTAACGAACGAATGTTTGCCATACTCGCAATATCTTAAATATTCTAAAATAATCGAATGTCGCTTTAAAGGCGGCATGATGTGATAATTTAGAAGACCTATTAAGCTATGCATTAATTGTTACGTTACAATGAAGGGCGATCGACAAATGTTTCTGGATGCATTCTGGAGAATTCCACTTTGAGCATTAAGCGAGAAAAACAATTTTTTAAACGTTCAATAAAGTTTAATATCGTGATTTTCTGACGAGACACCTAATTATTGCAATAATTATATTCCCGTATTCACATACGGGATTGTTGAAAGATGTATCAAAATATAGAAAAGTTTAAGTAATTTTGCATAGATTAATTGTAAACCCATAAAAAAACAATTTATAAATGTATACGTGTCTATAGATTACATACATATATTTATTGGTTTATTTCAAATCTGACTATTTTTCTTTAATTTTCACTTTAGTATCTTTTTATATGAACAAATCTGTTCATATACTACTTATTACTATTAACAATTTTCACGAAATCCAATAAAGCAAAATTAATTATGCACTTTTTCTAGTTCTGGAAATAAAGCACTAAATATTTTTAAAATCTGTCGATCTACAAATCATTATTCTAGTAAATTACGCTCGTTAGTTAAGGGTTAATTCATTCTATTCCGTTTCGTCCCATTTCATGTCGTTTCATTGATTATAAAACGCGTAAAAAATGTGGCGAAAGATTCGTAAGAGGCAAAGAAAAATCATTTTACGATATACATATCGTTTGAAGATACGTAAATTATATTGTGGGTGTCATTTAATTCACCACCCACAGATCGTACGTTTAACACAACAACAACAGATATGCATACATACATACATACATGTCGCACGCAAATTCGTTCGTTCTTATGCATGGTAAACGCATACACATACGCGCACACATCCACACATATGGCGCACCTAATTCGCATAGATATAAATAAGTGCGCGTTATGTGAAGTCAAAATGAATAAAGAGTTTTAAAAAAATACAATCTTCAAAATAGAAACTATAACCGTCTTTTTAATTTTGCTACTGCACTATTGTGTTACTTATGACATTTTTTAATACATCTTTCTCTCTCTTACACACGCACACGCTCACTTCCTCTTTTTCATTTTTTTCTTTCTTATTTTTCTTTTTATCCATTTATTTTCTGTATTTTTATTATTCTTTTTTTATTGTTTTTATTTTTTTTTTTATTTTTTTTTTTTTGTATCATTCGCCATTTTTCTAATCATCTTATTTTCTTTATTACTTTTTTTAATCTCGAAAAACACATCGAACATTATTTTTTGTACGGAATCATATGATCTCTATCCGCTAATCGTACGTACACACACACACACACTCACACACATAGATAAGTATACGCGTACATATATACTTGTTCACGTTTTTTTCGTTTCGTTGGAAATTAAAAAATGATACTAATATTATTTCATAAAATATAGAAAAGTATTGTAACAATATCATATTCAAGATAATATCCAACGAAACGAAAATTAAATTAATACAGGATGATTCGCGATTTATTTGGTATAAATTTGAAATAATTTTAAAAATATATTATTTATCCAACGGCGTATTACACAATTTAACAATAAAACCTCTTCCTCATAATCGAAGATATTTGACATATTTTCAAAACTCAACTTTGTTCTTTTATTATTTCATTGCAGATATAAAAAGAATAATAAATTTCAAATAATAAAAAATAAACGTATGAAAGATTTTACTGTATAATGTTAAATACCAAAAAAAAAAAAAAAATTGTCTCTCTTAATAATATTTATTAAAAACAAAATACGTTCTTTTGTCTTACAATTAATAGATTCGAATAATCAATCGAATAAGATTTAATAATATTTTTAAAATATTTTCATCGCGTATATCTTATTTTCCAAATATTTTATTCGAAATGTATTTAGTTATGCGAATCGTCCTGCGTATAGAATAAAAAGATAGTTATCTAACGTATTTATAATCCAGTCTCAATGAGATCGTTAAAGTGAAAAAATATTTTTAAAAAAATTCAAATTTAACATTCGTCATATGTGAATAATATCCTAAACGTGGTAGACATACATAGTTATAGAAAATCTATATTCTTTCTCTCTCTCTCTCTTTCTCTTATTCTTTCTCACTATCTTTCTCTCTCTTATTATTTTCTCATCTGTTAAAATCGTCATCGTCGTAATGTGTGCGTCTTAGAGTCAATAAATGGGCGTCAATTAAAAAATTATTGGAAAAATTCAGTCGCGAGGTGAAGGATCAATTATCTTCGTGTTTCATTGTGATGGATTCCTTTTGATTAATCCTTATCCTCAATCTCTTGATTATCGGTACCCAATAATGTTGATTTATCCTCTTCTTGTATTTCCGTTTCTGGTTCCTCAATGTCGTGCCGTTGTCGTCGTGATGCTTTACGTTGTACATAAAACATTAATACGATGCTGAGTACAGCTAATCCTGCCAATCCTGCTAGAAGGATGTACATAGACATTGGCATCTGATTTGGACCCTGTGAAGTTGGTAGTCTTCTTAATTCGAGATAATGTAGTACGTTTTTTTTTAATAATAATAGGTATTATCTATCTATAAATAGATAGATAATAAATAAATCTATCAATAGATCTATCTATAGATAGATAGATAGAAAAATAGATAGATACGAATAATGTTTATCGTATTAATTAAATAATAAATATATATTATATATTATTTATTAATCATCGTATTATGAATAATTTCATATCAATTTAACCAATAAGGATTTATTCGTTATTTAAACTAATAATAATAATTATTATCTATATATCCGTTATTTATATGCATGATAATATTACATGATTTTTTTTTTTTCGTTCGACAGATTATTATTACGCGTTTCAATCTTTAATAGGAAAGGAAAATAACGTAATTCCCAATAGAGAGGACACATACTAAAAGAAAATAAGAAATGGATGCTATTTCCTCGTTCGTTTTTAGATTCACCTGTCGTGTTTATCGATCGTACACCGAACGTGACTGTTTAAATGTCTGCTACTGCTGCTGCTGCTGCTGCTGCTGCAATGGGATCGATATATATATATACGAAGTATTTTAAATTAATAGCTTTGAAAGTGAACGAGTTGAGAATACGTTAAGACTTTAACCTAAGATCGAATTCGAAATTCTTTAGTACGAGTTGAACATCTTACGGAATTTCAAATATATTGTTTTCCTTCGGTAGGATAACCCCACTCCTACTCACCCCCTTAAGGATCAATAATAAATTATTTCTAGTTATTAGAGATACAGAGAAGAAATAATATTGAATGAACAATAGGACAATTGTATTAGTATTGTTTCTTTTAAATTGTTATTGAAATTATTTAATAAATATATTTAATAATAATGATTATATAAAAATTTGTTAAATTTAATAATTGCCATACTAAATATATATATATTATATATATATACATATATATTATATAATATATATTATATATAATATATAATATATAATGTATATTATATATTATATTTATAATATAATACCTGTTTAAATTTATTTCTAGACTATAATAATAGTCTATAATCTAATATTAATCTATAATAATAGTAATAATAATAATAACAATAATAATGATGTGAATAAAATTAAAAATTAATTCTTATTTTTAGAAACTAAAGATATTTATTAAAGTTTTTCTTTTTTTATCTATTCAAATGATTATTTTTAATGTATAATTAATTATTTAATTCTTATTATTTTAAAATTATTACGTATGTAATGTGTACAACATTACAAAGATTCTACGTTATATTTTGAAAGAAAATATATTTGTTTTTTAATAAAATTATATAAATATTTCATATACCGACAAGAAAATATAATTTTTACAAAATTAATATTTGGTAGAAGTGAATTAATAAAAAAAATTAATTAATTAATGAAATAACTTTAATATTTAATTGAAGATTCAAGAAAACGTTGTTATAAGTATTTTATGTAAAAAGAATTATTCTGAATTTAAATCCCTTATCACCTGTTGAAAACTGTATGACCTATTTAACGAATAAATTCTCGAGATAATTCAATTATCGGTGATCATTTATGCATATATATATGTAAATATCTATCTATCCGAGTGAAATGAACAATGCAAAGAGAATAATATGAATGTAAAGAAGAAAGAATGAATGACAAAATAATTAAATAGAAAAAACTCATTTAAGGGATAGAATTCAAATCGATTTGTGTTTGTAATACTTATTGAATAGATTAGTATTTTAACAATACGAACGAATTAATTAATTCAACATTGTCTTATTTTCTTAAAAATGATAGTATATTAATAAGAAACGCTTTAAACTAAAAAAATATAATTAATGTTTAATACGGTTATTCGATTAATTGAATTATTTTCTTTTAATGATAAATGAATTTTAATTAAGTTCATTTCATTATTCATATGACAAGTTGAATTTTATCAGGAAATTTTACTGATGAACTGATTATTTGATGAACGATTTTTAATAATAAATTTTCAATATATATTTATTTTGTATAAGATAAATAATATTTAAACTGTCGATAATGAAATTATATTTAATCAATACAATATGTTATTTTACATATTGATATTTAATTATAAATATTGACAGTTTTTATTAAAATATCGATTAAAATTATTTTAGATCCGAAAAATATCAAAGCATAAAATAATATTAATCGCAATTTATTGATTATTCCGAAAACATGAAGTATTATAATTATTATTTAACAAAAATTGTAATAATATTTATTCATACGTATAAATACGATGAAAATATTATAATTGTTCTTATAAAAGAAACACCGATAGTTCTAAACATTTTTAACGGATGAAAATCCTAACATAAAGAACAATAAATAAAATAAATAAATTAATAATATATAATGTAATATTATAAAATTAAAAATAATATTAAAGCGAATGATTATAATATAATAAAATAATCTAGATAAATCTCACCTTCCATTGAAAATCCGAAGATGGATCGGAAAAGAACCATTTTTGTTCCCACGGTTTGATGGTTCCTTCAGGTGTTTTAAAAATCAAACCTTCTAAGCTAAGTCCGTGTGCCAAAACGCTCGTAGTAATGTTACCCTTTTTATAAGATGCTATACCAGCTTTCATATACATTTGTGGTATCGTCTCGTTTTCTCGTAATTTCAAGGTAACCCGTGGCATTTTTACCTTTCTACCTGTACCAGACGACACCTTAGTCATTTCCGAAGATTCAATGCTGCTTAAAGAGGATTTCGAAAATTCCGATGATGGGGTAGAGGATGAGGACGACTGAGAATTCAAATAAGTACTCGTCTGTCGTATATTCAACGACGGATCGGTCGGAATTCTTCCTTCCTCCACAATTACTTCGTCTGTAAATGAAAACAACGATGTATACGCGATTAATATTATATTACTAAACGAAAAATAATTGATATTTATCATAATTTGTGTGTTTATTTTCGAATAATACATTAAAAGTTCCTAGTAACACAAAATATTGAATACATGTGTATTTAATATTAAAAAGACATTAAATCTCTTTTTAATAATAAATACACATGTATTCAATATTTTTCAATACTTTGTGCTATTAGCGGTATTTTGTAATAATAAATTTAATAAGTTTTTTGTAATAATAAATTAAAACAAAAATTGACCAAAAATCTTTACGAAAAAAAAACCACAACAACAACAAAAGCTGGACAATTCGTACTGATTAAATTTTTTATATCATTAGTATGAAAATTTGACACAAAAAACATAGTACAAAAAGACCAGTGATTAAAAGTAAATTAAATAATAAAAATCAATTCTATTAGTATTGATAATTTTTGTCAACAATTATACAAACATTTCCAATCTTCTATCTAATTTCAAAAGCAAGCATTTCCACATCCAGATATATTTGTGGGATACTACTATCTACTTGTTCAGGACCCTTAAAACTTATTCCCAAAGTTTGTACAGACAATTTAATATATACCATCAACATTTATACCTACTATGTACTATATGAATATATATGTACATATACCTGGAGATAGGGTGTCGGAAGATTCAAGCTCGTCGTCCCTTAAGGAATTGTTGGGCATCGTTAGATTGTCAAAATCTTTGTTCTTAGAGGAAGAAGAAGAAGAAGCAGTAGTAGAAGTTATTATTACGGTAGTTGTCCTTGGCCTAGTTGTCTTCCTAATCGGAACTTCATATTTACTTTTGTCAATGATCATATCTTCTTCTTCGTCATCTTCTTCTTCCTCGTCCTCTTCTTCATCTTCACTGATCTGATCACTTTTCAATGCATTTTCTATCGTAATTGATGTGCTGGTGGTGTTGTTATTGTTGTTAGTGCCACCACCACCACCACCACCTCCACCACCACCACCACTGCTGCTGCTGCTGCTGCTGCTGCTAGTCGATGATGCAGTTGTCGATGAAGTTGAAGTTGTTGTTGTTGTTGTTGTTGATGTTGTCATAGTCGTTGTAGTAGTTGTTTCATATCCAACCCTACCCATAACTAGTATAGTACCGGCAAATAGGTTGTGATCGTTTTGATTTATCAATAATGGTATTCCAACGCATGATAATACGATCAACGATAATGTAAATATCGTATATTTGATTATTCTAGATCGTGATTTTCCATTTCCTGTGTTATGTGACGTTGATTGTGACAATCCATTAGAATTGAATTGATCACTTTGTGGTAATATCGTGTACTGTAAACTGGCATCGCCTTTTCTCACGGTTTTGTACATCATTACAAAGAGAAAAAGGTAATAGGAACACCTGTATAAACAAATCTATCGATATAATTTTAATTATTTTTTAAATATTATTTTTTGTTTTATATTATATATATATATATATTAATATTTTATTATTACTATACTACTATTGTGTATTAAGATATGTAAATATATTAATTATATTATGGGTAGATAATTAAGTAAATAATAATGAAAATAAAATTTCCTTAGTTATTATTTTAATATTATTTAAATTAATTAATTTCATTGAAATAATATTAAATATATATATATATATATAGAATACGAATATAAAACAAAGATATAAGAAAATTGAATAACGAAAAATTTTTGATCATAATTTGACAAATAATTCAATTAAAATATTTGATTACTATAATAAAATGAATAATTTATTAAAACGTAAATAAATAAATTATATTTAATGAAATAAAAAAAAACAAATAAGGAAATAATTAAAAGAAAAATCGTTTACATTTGAAGATTTACGAATATTATTCGATAATTAAATATATATCTAAATGTGATCTTTAATAATAATTACAATATTAAATTCAATAATTATTAAGGTCATTCATTAATTCATTTGACAATGAATTTTTCCTTTTTTTTCTTACTTTTTTTTTCGTAGAAAGAAAAAGAGAAAGAGAGGTGAAAGAGACGCGTATTCGCGTCGATATGTTAACAGAAAAAATTTGATAAAGATGTCGTACTAAATCTTTAAAATTTGAACAAACAAACAAAAATATATTATATATAATAAAATTATAAACAATTAAATAATCGTAATTATATGTAATGAAAATAATAATAATAATAATAATAATAATAATAATAATTATAATAATAATAATGATAATAATACGTACTCACGAGTTAAAATTTGTGTGTAACAGAAAATTTGACAAAAATGTAATAAATCTTTAAAAATTGAATACACATAAACAAATAAAATATATATAATAAGACTATAAACAATTAAATAATTGTAATTATATGTAATAATAATAATAATAATGATTATGATAATAATACGTACTCACGAATTAAAATTTGTGTGTAACAGAAAATTTGACAAAAATGTAATAAATCTTTGAAAATTGTAACAAACAAAATATGTATATAACTAAAACTATAAATAAATAAATAATCGTACTTATATATAACAATAATAATGATAATAATACATACTCACGAGTTAAAATTTGTATGTTTTAATGTACATAGAGAAAGAGAGAGAGAAAAAAAAGATAAAAGTTTGTTTGATTTAATTCGTGTTACCTCGATGAGGATGATTCCACCAGACGATTCTTGGGAAACGCAGGCAGGTAGAACACAGCCTTGTATCGGCAGTTGTGTGAACGAAATTATCCACCATCGGGGTTTGGGAAAATGCGCAGATGCGAACCAAGAAAAGGGGGATGATGATTAAGAAGTCTACCACCAAGTTATTAAGGCGCATGCGTTACTTGGAAACTTCCGGAAGTGGTATGTATAGTGTTTTGAAACGTTTTCCTTGGTAAGGAAGAAGAGTTCAAAGGTTCACGACTAATACAAGAGAAAGAGAGAGAGAGAGAGATAAAAGGAGTGAATTGTAATTTAAACCCCACCCCTACTATTTTTCTCTTTTTTTTGTTATATTACATTTAATATTACAAGAACTATAATGGAAAGAGTATATAAAACTTCTTGGTTTTGTAAAATAAAAGAGAAAATAAAAAAGAAAGAATTATACTTATATTATTTATGTTTTCTGAGTTTACATTTAATTGCAACGTAAATTTCAAAGATTAAAATCTTTGAAAATATTTAATTTGCGAGAGAATGAAGTGTGTGTGTGTATGTGTAGGATTGTTGTTTTTGTTCTTTTAAAAGGTTGACAAAAATTAAATGGAAAAATTATTGATCATTTTGTTGTATTCAAACGTTTACTTTATATATTTTTTTCTCTCTCTCTCTCTTTCTCCATCGTAATTTCATTTTTCATATAAAACTTGAGATATTATGCATCATTTGGTAATTTAATTTTTATTTCAATCCTTGTAATAATTTTTGTTCTTTTCTACAATTTCAATTCAATCCAAATTTAATCAATGGATTTATATATTTTTTTTCTTCGATAAAAAAATATATATATATCTATGTTATAATATAATTTATCATCGATGATATTTATAGATAGCATCATGAATTTTTGATGACACAGGTACGAGAATTAGTATAGATCGATATCATAGGTATTATATATATATATATCCAAAAAATTTCTTTAATAAAGTAAACATTGTAGGAACTGTAAGAAGATCATTTTCATTGGAAGACTTTTGATAAGCGTAATATTCATTTAAAAAATCTATTTAAATTTGAAATATTATTATTTTATTTTATTGCATTGTAGGCATTGCTGTTGAAGATGCAATATTACTCGCATCACTTGATCGCCATAATTGAGTTATTGTCTTCGTTTGCGTGTAGAAATTGACAGCCTAAAATCAGAATTAATTAAAATAATACGCTTCTTATAGTATAATATTTTTAAATTAAAAAGAGAGAGAGAGAGAGAAAGAAAGAAAGAAAAGAAAAGGAAGAAAATAAAAATATAAATAAATAAATTTATGTTTGTATCTTACGTATTTTCCATAAAAATGATTGTCCCCAAGAAACGATCCTTTATTACCGGTGAAACTGAACATAGGTAATGGAACAGGTATAGGAACGTTAACTCCAACTTGACCTGCTTCAATTCTATCAATGAACGTTCTTGCGGTTGCACCATTGCTCGTAAATACTGCAGTACCATTCCCATAAGGATTTTTATTGATAATATCTATAGCTTCGTCCAAAGTATCAGCGAACATACAGGAAAGTACTGGACCAAAGATCTCTTCCGTATAACATTTCATAGATGACTATTATAAAGAATATAATATTATTAACACACACATATATATATATATATATATATATATATATATATATATATATATATATATATATATAATTATTTATAAAATTTAATTTTTTTCTATGCTAATATTATTCGTTTTAACAAATTAACATTTAATTTAATTTAATTACTTTTTTAAAAATAAATAAATTTCGTTTTTTGCATCTATAAAAAATTGGTCTCTAATTGAAACGTTAATTATTAATTCACCTTTATTAAATTTTATTATATTAATTCAACTTTCAAAATTATTGTTGTAAGTTAATTTTTCGTTCAACAAATTTAATGATTTGATTTGTTTTAATTTTTTTTTCTTAATTGAAAAGGAGATATTATTTATTCGATAAATATTGATAATCAATATAGTTTAAATAAATATTCAATATTTATAATTGATATTGAATATATGAAATATGCGATCAATATCTTACCAATTAAAACAAAAACTGGTAATATTTTTAACAAATTGCTCATCTTTAAGTAATATATTAAACTATTAAATGGAAGTCTATGTAAACGTTAAGATTTGAAAATAAAAAGTGACTAAATCAATATAAAAAATAAAATATATTGACCTTAACATCGGTTAAGACAGTAGGACCAACAAAATTTCCATTTTCGTATCCTTTTACAACAATTCCTCTTCCATCTAGTGGAAGACCAGCACCTTCTTTCACACCTGATTCGATTAAATTACATATCCTTTGTTTCGATTGTGGCGATATAACTGGTCCAAGATCGGTACCAGGTACATGTCCGGCATTGACCTTCAACCTCTTGGCAGCTTCAACCAACTCCCCTATCCATTCCTTTGATTTACCAACGAAGATTGCCACGGACAATGCCATACACCTTTGACCAGCTGCACCAAATGCCGCACCAGTTATTTGTGAAAGTGTTTTATTTTTATTCGCATCCGGTAATACAACACAATGATTCTTTGCACCCATGTTACATTGTACACGTTTACCGTGTGCACTGCTCTCCTTGTATATGTATTTACCCTGAAATGTGAATAAATAAATTGAGTTAAAAAATAGGTCAATCACTTAAATAAAAAAACAAAATCATTCATACTAAATTGAATGTGGTTATCATATTCAATTCATTAATAATAAATTTAAATATTAAAATAAATTTTACAACTGTATTCGTAATTATTTTCTATGATTAAGAAATTTTATTTTTACAGTTTTATTATAAATAATGAATTATTTTTTTAATACAATCTTCTAAACCTAATTAACTCTACGTAATTTAATTTAATATTATTATTATTATTATTATGATCTATAGAAAAATTATCAAACATGACAAGACTCTGGTATATAATTAGTATCACGAATAAAAATTAATTATATTAAAATTTTGTTAAATTTATTTAACGTTTCATAAGACGATAAGTAATAATCGTAAAGAAAAATATGCAATAGAAATTTGTGTTTGTATATAATATTTAATTAATTAATAAAATATTTACCTACCGCTTGATCCGAACCAACAAATGATACAGCTTTTATATCGGGATGTTGACAAATGAAATCGACTGCACCGTGTTGACCATGAATGACGTTTAAAAGACCTGGCGGGGCACCTGCTTTTGTGAAAAGATCAGCAAGGATCATCGAAGCTCCAGGTACTCGTTCGGAAGGTTTTAAGATCGTTGTGTTGCCACATGCAACTGATACCGGAAACGACCATAATGGGATCATTGCGGGAAAATTGAAAGGACAGATAGCACCTGTCACGCCAAGTGGAATTTTGTATGAAATAATATCCATGTCTGTAGCAATGTTCGGAGTTGATTCACCCATTTGTAACATTGGGATTGAAGTGCATGCATCTACAACCTCTGCAATTAATTACAAAAAATAATAACTTTAATTTATAATAAAAAAGGAAACGAGATTATCAGATAATAAAATTTCCCAAACTTTTTTTTACTTATCGATCCCTTTTCTGTATCCTTTTATATTTTAATATTTTTACACCCTCAACTCTGAGTATAGGTTTTTCTTTTTTTTAATTATCATAAAAATTCGTTCACAGACATATAAGAACTATGCGTGTAAATTTTGTTAAAACTTATTTGAAATGAATTTTTGGTCCTTGAGTAGTCCAAGAATTTTTTAATTGTTTCTACCAAAATTTTTGTCCGAGTAAATTTAGTTTAACGCGACCCCTCCCACTCCTCCCCACTTTCTTCCACATCATGGGGTTGCGACCTACTCTTGTAAAATGTTTCAAATAATTTTATTATCTCTCTCGATATTATTATATACTTATTATATTATTATTATCGCAAACCTACACGATTTTTATGGATCATTAATTCGTGTTCGTTTTTTATTTATATTTAATCGTTAATTAAAAATACACTTACGCAGACCACGTAAAATATCACCTTCTGCATCGAGCATGGTCTTGCCATTTTCTCTCACCATATTTTCTGCAATTTCTTTCTAGAAATAATTATATATTAATATAACAAAGAATTAAACTAATTTATATCGACACATACATTGATCGGTTTATCTTTAATTTTTTTTTATATTTATATTATATCTATAAATCAATTAATTGTATTATTTAAAATAATTATCACTCGAAAGAAAAATATTCTAATATTTTTAATATTATTATTATTTATATATATATAAATATGTTTTAATATGAAGAAGAGAAAAAAATAAGGAACGAACCGAGTGCTCTCGTATAAGAGCTTGATACTTGAGCATTAAATTTTGCCTGGTGAGTACGCTAGTGTTACGCCACTTCTGGTAAGCGTTTTTCGCACTCTCAACAGCTCTTTCCATTTCTTCCTTCGTACATTTTGGAGTACGGTAGAGAAGTTCATTCGTTGCTGGATCATGAACATCAGTAAATTCTGTTGCCTTTGATTCTATAAAAGAAATCGCGATATGTCGGTAAAAAAAATTCCTACACCAAACCGAAAGTTATTAACAGAATTTTGAATATTTTTGGTTTATTTATTTTAAATATTTTTTTTATTACAACTAGACCTATTTTTTTTTAAATATTTTTGACTGTTTATAATACATATAATTATTTTAATTATATTTTTTATTTTTTTTCAGCCATTGAATCGAATTTATGAAACACAATCGTGGACATTCGTTAATAATGAAATAAATTAACATTTAATTAGAATAATTACCCACGAATTGTCCATCGATGTACATTTGAACAGTCGATGAACTTGAACCGTATAACCTTGAGATATAATGTGCCTGTAAAATTATTTATATTATTTTGTTAAATAAAACATTTCGTTACAAAAGATAAAATAAATATTATTCGATGTTATGTTGCAATTGTAAAATAACAACATTCTATCTAACGTTATTATTACTATTTGTTTTGTTATTATGTTAGCTTGGTAAAATGATAATCTTTTCATTGAAGATAACAGCATATGACAATTTTCTATTTTTATTCTCATTTATTTGAATAAATCTTTTGATTTTTTTTTTTTGTATATCTCATTCAAAACAAAATTTATTTAAATACATGTAGAATTCACTTTGGTTACAATGTAATAGGGCCAATTGAGCTTGCGCACAATTACTATACCACGAGGGTTAAAGACATTGATTAGAAAAACGTGTGTATCGTACAAATACATATATATATTCAAATATATCAAACGTATAAAAATTATCTTGACGTTAGACAAAAAGAAAAAAAGAAAAAAAAAGAAAATTGTGAAATAAAATTAAACGAAGTTGAAACTATATTTCTCTTATCATTATAAGATAATAACATATATTCTCCATACGATTAGTTTTGTTATTCATATATTTAACGTAAGCAAGTAAATAAAGAGATAAACTTTAAGATACATATATATATATATATATATATATATATAATATGTGACTTTATTTCGAATGTATGAATTTGATTTCATTTTGTCTTAAAACACTTCTTACCTCGCATTTAATGATCCTCCTTAGAAGCGCCATTTTTGTTTTGATTAATTAGAATATTGTTTCCATAAAAACTGCTACGTACAGAACTGAACGAAACCACGGATAACACTGTGACTGTCTTCTTCTGTAGATCGAATTCGACGACCAATGTTTTTAGAATGATTAATTCGTCCTTGTGTTTACAATTCCATTCTCCCCACTGCTAAACGAACTGGTCTACCTTTTTCACTTGCGATCGATGTTTTTCAATGGAGGCTCATAACTGTAATCAATTTCGTTTATCGTTATATTATATTTTATCAGAAAAGTGTTTTCTTCATTTTTTTATTTTTTATTATACCATTAAATCATAATGCAGAAACAATAAAACGTTTTATTAAATATGCTACTTGTTTCTACGTAAAGTTATTAGATATGCATCCATTTATCTACAGATAATTAATACAAACAGGTGTATGTGAAATGTAATCATTGGTTGTCTTTAAACAACGGTAGATGTCACTAGTAAAATGATATTTTTTTAAAATACAAATCTGTATTACTGATCGACGATAATTAAATACCGCGGCATAGTCGGTAACTTACCATGTGATTTTATATTCATTTAAAAAAAAAACAATGATTCTTAATCATTATTATTTATTCTTCTTTCGTAATAACATAAGACTCTTTATTTTGATAATAATAACTAAACAACTACTACTCTATATAATTAAAATGATTTTTAAACGAAAAGTAGAAATATGTATTTTATCATATCTTAATAAGAGTAAACAGTAAAAAAAAAAAAAATGAAAAAAAAGCAACAAGAAAGATAAATGAAGATTACGAAAAAAATAAAGAAACATAAGAGGTGAAGAAGAAAAAAAATATATATTTAAAACGTATATCGCAGGTGAGTCAACAATGTCAAAAACGATGACGACAACTTTCCCGGTGATTTTATTTATTTTTCTTTTTTTTTTCCGAATTAAAACAAATGAGCAATAAACAGACTGGACACTGTCAAGAATCTCGTGCTTTTCTACGTAAATACGTAGGCGTAAAATCATCGCACGACTATGGGGTACATACAACCGAGTCGACGTACTTTATCCTTATACTCACTCTTTATCCTTATCTTTCTCTTTCTCTCAAAACACATACACAACACACATAATATCTATATATATTTATATACACGTATTTATTTAGTTGCATACGTACGTATATATATATATGTATATGTATGGATATGCATACATATAGCATATAAGTAGATGAAACGTATATCTGAAACTGGCAAGAACTTATGCGTATTCGATTCGCCTGATCGAATCATCGGAGTATGTTTTTAACGTTCACAACTCGATTCGAATCCAATTGAAAATTGTATACTTTATTCGTATTAGTATTATATATTATAGTTCGTGGCCCCTTGGAAAAACTATCCTCCATGCATATGTTCAAACACAGAAATACATATTAAAAATAATATACACGTATATCTATAAGTATATGCATTAAGTTTATATATATATATATATATATATATATATATGAATCTCTATGCAAATAGAAATAAAGTCTATCTCAGTTTTGTTTTATATATATATATATATATATATATATATATAAGTAAATACACGAATATGTATTATATACACGGTGTGACTCAGAAAAAACATGATATCATATCTATTCTTTTCCTTTTTTTTTTCTCTAATATTATAAATCCCAATTTTTATATGAGAAATCAACAAAACTTGTCGACAAATCAACTTTCGGTTGGTACTGAAATAATATTATAATAAAAGAGAAAAAAAAACAAAAAGAAGAACTATAATTATAAATATTATTTCGAAAATTCGATTACGATATAAATGCTCGTTACAAAATTTCAATTTACAAGTTTTGCAATATCTTTTCGAATTTGCATCAAATGCAATTTTTGTTTGTTTGTTTAAAACAAAACTATCGACTTAAATTTTAAAAGAAAACATTTCAAACGATATGCTATTTGATTCTTGTTGACATATAAACATTTCTAGAAGGTTTTTTTTCTATTATGCTTTAAAGATCCTTTAACTCAGGTTAAATGCTGTAATTACTGTATCGAGATGGTTTTCTATTATTTTTTTGTTCTTTTTTCTGGAATTTTAATAAAATCAATTAGAAACGATTCTATGATCGTTTTTTATGAGTCACTCTATGTACATACGTAGTATCTATATATGTATTAAGTATGTATGTACGTAGTTACGTTTCTATACATATGTATTCTATACATATATTTCTATATATATATATATATATATGTTACAACAGTATACAGGTCGCTGACTCGGCGAACTCGACGATGACGGAAGTCGTCTCGGTGAAACGTTAAAAGGTCGTCATTTTTAAACAATACGGAGACCTCCACTTTGTTAATCCACTCGTTTATGTATATTTCATTTTATTTTTTTTTAATTTTTAATGAATACGAAATGATCTACGAAATATACAGAGATTTTCAAAAAAACAAGAAAAAAAACAACATCTGTGCAGATCACACGTGTTAAAAGTGAAACCTTCGAAAAACTAAGTTTCGAGAGAATGAGACGAATGCAGAATATCAGGTGTAAGAAAATTTATCTGTTATTTTTTATATTTATTTATTTTTTTATATTATATATTATTATATTATTATTATAATATTATTATTATAATATTGTTATCACATTCAAAAATTATTTTACGTTTTATTGACATATAATACATAAAATATTACACAGTAAGCACGTTCTCAATTTTAAGTTAGTAGTACTTATACTAACAAAGTACTAGTAGTACTACTTAGTATACTAGTACTACTAGTAGTACTACTTAGTATACTAGTACTACTAGTAGTACTACTTAGTATACTAGTACTACTAGTAGTACTACTTAGTATATTAGTACTACTAGTAGTACTACTAGTATACGCGTTTCGCATTCAGTGTACTCGGGCCTCGTAAACTCATTCAACATTCATAATTCATAATTCATTATGCATCATTCATCATTCATCCTCGTAAAAGAGCCTCGCAAAAGAGCCTCGTGAAAGAGCCTCGTAAAGGATCCTCGTAAACGAGTCTCGTAAAGGAGCCTCGTAAAAGAGCCTCGTAAACGAGCTTCGTAAAAGAGCTTCGTAAAAGAGCCTCGTAAAAGAGCCTTGTAAAAGAGCCTTGTAAAAGAGCCTCGTAAAAGTACCTCGTAAACGAGCCTCGTAAACGAGC